TTCCAAAACGTCACTCCAATTGCCAATGCTGTCGAAAGAGGAATTTTAAGTTTCCCTCGTTCCAGGTCCTCCTCTTGCACCTCGAAGAAACGGAATTTCGCAGAATCCATGGTGGATTTGTGGGGTGGACGTGGACCATCGGGAATGGCCACTCTCGTGGAGGAAATCACGCGTCTCTTGTAGTTTGACGGTGGACCTCGTTGACGATGCCGCTCAAGATGAGCACTTGTTCGGTTCGGATCGAAGTCTTGAATTTTTCACGACGAGACAATGGACAGGGTGTCGAGATTCCTGGCTCGAAGATGAGGTCGAAGGGCCGCATTCCCTGCATGCCTTTCTGGAATGCTGCCACTTACCAGGGGATGATCCAAGGGGACGATCGCGAGGAGCTGTGATCGCTCGCTCGCGAATTATAGAAATTATTGGCGAAATCGCGTTCCTGTGAAGCGGGCCGCGTAAAGGGGACGTGGGCGATCCCCTTTATCCGCAGGGCGACCTCGCCGCATCCTCGGTGCATCCAGAATGCACAATGTGATGCCGAGGCTCTCCCGCAATTTCGCCGCGAGTCTGAGGGGCGATTTTGGCGAGGCCCGCGAGCGTTTCGCGATACTTTCCACTTCCTTCGGCACCCTCCGAGCCGTTCAGGAAGAAGGAAGGAGGCTCGTTGAGAACGGAAGTTCTGGTTAACAATGCGTCCGATGCAGACCACCTTGGTTTCAGGGGAGGTCAGGAGGGAGGACGCCATTCAGCCTTTCATCCCTCGCCGTCTATCACCCTCGTTTCGTCTAAGGTCAGAAACGTCCAACGCCGACTTTGTTCTAAATAAAATCCAAGGAAACTTTCTACGGAATTTTATAAACAATGATTTAGAGAAATCTCGAAACTTCGCGATTCTGCCCTTTCGTCCTTATTAAAGGCTACTGAACAGGTTACGAAGAAATATTCCGTAGGGAGCATCGCTTCTGGTTATTCTCGAGAAACCCTTTTAAGGGAGGGGATTAGCCGCTCGAAATTATTCTCGTTAAGATGAATAATGGAAGAAATTCTGCTCATCCCGGGTAGATCGGTGCGAGGCCTGAAAGGAATATAACTTTCCAATGACAATAACTAAACTTTGAGGGGCTCGAGTCGCCACGACGCGAGGTAGAATTTTCCTGCGAGGAATTTTCAGAAAATCTCGGCCTCCCGCCGAGTTTAAGCCACATCTTCATCGGATCCTTAACGAATCCGGGGTCGTTCAATATCGGGGGTCCCGCTCGTTTGGGGCTATACAATGAAATATAGCCGAGCCCTTCCGACTCCTGGCGCTCCCTAGGGTTCCCGCATCTCCAAAGATAGGTAATCGCGCCGACCTCGAGAATGACGCCGGTCCTCTCATGAATATGCTGACAAGACCAAAAGGTCCTACGCAAAGCGCCGCAGATTTCCTAATTCGGGGGGAAAAAATCCCATCGAGGGGCAATCAAATTGATTGCGCGCTATTCTATCCTGTCTTCGAATTCCCAAAACGCGGCGGCGCATTAGTTGAAAAATTAATCGAGCAAGGGGTGTACCCCTCGATTAGGGAGGAAACATTAGTAGGGGTCGGGTCGTCCAACCCAGTCCCTTAACACTTCATTTCCTGTCCTCTTTGGACGCATTCTATTTCCAATAACTTAATGGGAGCCTCGCAGGTTTGCCAGACACGTATCGGGAGTAAATACGAGAACGGTAGGAGGTTTGCGCCCCGGAAAGAGCGGCAACGTGCTCCACCGCGTTTACGCCCGTGGATTATTTATGAGAAGGATAAGACCCGACACTCCTGACTCCTTACATTATTCAGCGAAGACGGAGGAAAGGACATCTCCCACGGCGTGCATGTGCAAAAGTTTCCCGCTGAAATACGAAAGTACTTCTTGCACCTCCCTGACCTCTGACAGGCTCGCTCCCATGCTCGATTCCATCCGGAATCGATAGCATCCTCGATATATGGTTCATCGGCAGATTCGATATTCGCGCCGGGGCCAAAAAAGTTCCTACGTTCCCGGAATGCTGCCATCAAATTTTCAGCCACCTCCAGATCCTCCTGTCGTCTCTTCGGCGGCTTCTTCTTGGGTGCGATACCCTCGTCGGCCAGTCGGCGATTACCATAACACTGATTGCCACCCTTGTTGAGCTGCTCTCGAGTTGCTGGGCACTTTGCCGAGGGTAGTTGCTCCGAGGTTTACGGCTCATCCCCTCTCTATAATTCAAAAACGTACTTTTGATCTTCTTTAATGGAGACCTACTTGTTAGAGGTTTCACACGTACTGAATTTCCAACAAGATTCGATCGATGACGATTGATAAAAAATTACCTATAGGAGCGATCCAGTGTTGAACTTTCGTGCAGAGATTTTGGTAAGGGATGGTATCGTGTCTCTGTCGCCATCTTTTGGTCCAGATTATGTCGAGATTGATATCAGGAGGGTCGGTTATTATCCCGGTGAGAGGTTTCTTCAGGGTTCCCGAGCGCGATGCAGAGGGCAGTGGTTTACGAAATTCCCGAGTGATCCTCCTCCGGTAATTCAGGAAACTTTCCTGAATTTGTACTCCCTTCCACGAAGGGGTGGTGCCAAAAATCGCAACATAATTTCCTATCTTATGCATAAAAACGAGCACGACCAAATTTGGAAGCGCGTTCCGGGGCTAAAATATGCTTCTCTGATTTTCTAATTTCAATCTGCGCGAGAATTTTTTTTCGGGGGTAAGATCTGGAATAATACTTAAATCAATGCCACGCGTTGTGTAATTTTTTTCCTAGCTAGAACCTACAAAATTTGGGATAAAGGTTCCTGCTTATCTCAAGGAGCGCCCGGCCTGGATATCTCTTATTATCCGAGAGTGACATTGAAACTCGAATGGGAACTGATGAGCATAGCAAATTGGGGCTTATTTCATTTGCAGGCGCTTAAGGGAACGGCCAGCACCAGGTCACGTCCGAATCCGGAACATCTATCTATGCCTTTAAAAAAGGCCGAGGAGAGCTTCGAGCAAGCCGACTTGCAGTAATTCCACGGAAACGTGGAGTTGCATAACGAAATTGTAAACGCTACTTCAAGGCGAGGAGAGGTAGGAATTCTTTTTCCGCGGGAAAGTCGGGGCTGAATCCCGGTGGGTCTCGATCGCGCAGGCGCAGCTTCGGCTTTACCGAATCTCAGGGTGGAGGAAAGCTCGGAGCTTTCGTAATCAATACGGCAATGGCCGCCAGTAACCGGCCAGTCAGGGCTCGTCCTTCATCAAAGGCGCGTGTCACCGTTTCTGCGTCCCTAGAAAAGGGAGAAGACAGGAAAACACCAGAAGAAAATCGCAAGGCCAAGAGGTGGATCGAGAGGAGCCCTGAAGCCGTGCACCGAGTGCTCGTTCTTCGAGGCTCGAAAAAATTCCCATTGCCCCGCAGAATTAATTCCGGGTCGCTGTTGAAATTCCAGCATCCGGTGAGATTCATCTCCGGAGATGCGTTGATCGCGACCTGACCAGTGATCCAGGGTCTAGGGGACTCGTCTCGCGGATCATCCGCAGAGGGTGACTGACCCTGCGCAACAGCCACCGGTTCCGTATCATCCCTCTTCTGGGGCAGGGGTGATAAGTGCAGCAACAGTGCTCGGTAGTAGTGCCGCTTCGATTTCTGCTGCCTGAAATTGAAACCAGGTCGGCTAAAGTCTGCGACTCGATAGCGTCAAGTGACGATTCGACTTCTACCAAAGCCGGTCCTCGTAGAACATTTTTTTAGACCTCGGAGCCTCGAGAGAACCGCGTCGCATTTCGGCAGGACCCTTCGAGATGCATCCTTTGTGACTTGGTCTTGGGACCAACCTGAGGGTAACCGACCCTGCGCACCGGTGCACCGGTTACGTGCTATCCTTTGCGGTACCGCCTCCAAGTACTAGCAGTAAGTACAGCAAAGACTGCCAAAGACGGCACCGCGTCGATTTTCTACCCCAGAGTCTGGAAATTAGTCGCCATCGAGATTCAGCCAGAAGGACGTCGATCGATTCCCCGCGAATAGAACCAGATCGGTGCGGCACCTAAGACGTCGAGGTAGAATTGCATAAAATTAAAGTTACGGAGTTCTGGTCCAAGAGGGAGGTCTGGCCGTTACCAGGACCTTTTGAATATGCTTTCTTTGTGACCAGAACACCAGTCGATACCTGATTGGGCTTGATTCCCTGGAGCTTTCCCGAAGGGTAACTGACCTTGCGCAACAGCGATACCGGCTACGTGTCATGCCCGGTGACATTGTCCCGAGTCGAAGATAGAACCAAGAGGCACAGATTTCCCAACTGATCGGGTAAAACCCTAGTAAACTACCATATTTAGACATAAAATCTAGAATTATCCAGCCTGGCAGGAGTTCGACCTAGAAATTTAGGCACCTCGAAAGAAGACGAGGAAATTAACCCATCAACAGGAAGCCGAAGGCTCCTCGGACCAACTACAAAGAATTAAGGCCCATTCCTGCTCGTTCCTCATAGAAAGTCGGAAAGCTCCCATTCCGCAAAAGTCAGAGTCGTAGAAGAAAGGGAGGCTCGCCAGAAAAAAAATCCAGGGTTGGCTTTACGGGGACCAGCTGGAGAACGGCCAGAGCCATCTATCACTTCGGAAGCTAGCCAAGAGGATCCAACAGCGAGGGTACGAAGAAAGGAAGCCGAATCGGCAAGGAACTCGTCCAGAGGGAGCTCGACCCCGTGCCTGAAGAGCACCTGCGACCTGCCAGGACCTTTTTCTCGGATTCCCCCGGCTAGGACCTTGGTCCTAGTTCCCGGTTCCCCGGAGGAGCCTCCTTCCAGGTCCAGCTACCGCTACCACGATCGGCCTAATCGGCTCCTGGGAGGCCATCAGGCTCCTCTATCGGTGGTTCGGACGGGGTCGTGGGAGCGGCGGCTCGGACGGGAATTTTCGAAAACACTCCCAAAACGGCAACCCCCCGACGTCGCGCTGCCGTGGGCCCCACGCCGATCGCCCAGCGAGATCCAGAGAGATCTCACGATCGTCCACGGGCCGACCCGGTAAGATGGAGGAAAAGTCCTCCGCCAGGTTCTCTGAGTACCTATTCGCAAAAATGGGCGGCCAGGAAGTTTCGGCCTCGCAGGGTCCCCGCAAGGTGACCGCGGACACGCGCAAGTGGATGCGCGAGAATCTGCTCCTCTTGGTCACCCTGTCCGGTGTTCTGCTCGGTGTGATCCTTGGTAAGATTTCGACGAATTTCCCCACATTCTGCATGCTGCATGACCGCACTCACCGACGCCACCCTCGCCTTGCTCCTTGCCAGACCTTTGCTCCATTTTCCTCTCGAGGAAGCTGGCGGCGAGGGCACGTAGAACTTGTCTGCACGTTGCCCCCGACACTCCTCGGATCGCTTGCCCCGAGTTCGCGTCCTTACGATAGATACATCGTCCTTGTAGATATAGTTGTGCCTGCTAAGCCTATAGTGGTACCCAGGAGAGATCGGTGACGATATTCGAGGTCCTCCTCTGTCGCTCGGGCTAAATTTGACTTGCCTATTTTCCTGCAGGAGAAACGGGTAATTAGCTATGTGGAACGAAGGGTTGGGTGTTTCGAAGCTTCTGAACCGAAACAATGTCCCGCGACTTCCGAGAGCGATGCCTCCGCGGAAGTTCCCAAAGGATGGACCAGCTGATCGATCAGCTGATCCGACCTTTGGGGCTCCGCTGTGACGTAACCCTCCCACGTAGAGTGTGACGTAACTCCACCTAACCTGACCGGTCCCTAACTTGACGTACAAAAGAACCAACCCGGATGCGGAACCATCGGCTGAAATGTTACGCGCGTGATTCACCACGAAGCGAGCCATCGATTTATCGGATACTTAAAGAGAGGCTTCTCGGTGGGTGGCGGAGGGTGGAAAATCGGATGTGGCGGAGTAAAGTCTTCCAAAAAACGGCCTGCCAAACGAGCCATTCTTGGGCGTCCATTCTGTACTCCGGGTCCATTGTCGACGATGTATCCGATCGCGATCCTCCGTTGGAATTCCCCCAACGACTTGGTTTCTCGATTTTACTCGAGTCTGACCCAATTTTGCGACGCTCGAATTCAGACTTGGTGTTATGTAAAAGTCCGAGCGCTGGATGACTTTATCTCGTTAAAAGGTGCCAATCATCGTTAGGGGTTTCCTTTAAACGTCTCAGCTAATTGGATAACTGGGGGCTCGAGCTTTTAAAGAAATTCGGTAACGGCACGAGGTGTATCGCATGTCGCCACGCAATCGGTGCAGTTGCAGGCTCGTTGCATCATGCCACGTTGGATGACATAATCGAAGCCTGCCGTTTCTTAAAACGCAGTTTCCATGGAGAGCTTCTCGGCGCCGACGTCGCCTCTTCGGAGTGGGAATTCTTCCAAGTCATTTTGTTGGACAAGTAATCGAAAGAATGTCTATAAAAAGATGTCAAGGGTATCAGAAGGAGGCTTCCCGGGGTGTGGAAGGAGGGTTACGAAGATCGCTTTGAAAAGGGAAAAATCCATGTTATGTCTGGCCTTCGCCTATGGCTCGATTTTAAGTCCTGCAGGGGAAAAAAACCGGAGAGATGGACCGTGCCAAGAAACTGTCTCACGGGAACGAGGACGGTGTCAGGCTCGTGGATGCTCTATGTGAGACTGAAGCATACTTCAATGGACTTCAAAGTGTCCGTTCATGCTTCGGCGAGAGCATTTTCCGAAAGAAAGGGACGGGATCGATACCTCTTTCATTCGGGGTAGTGCCCACTCTCGAGAACTCGAAATATGGCCGTTCATTTGCGTCTTACTCGAGGTAGAACGTCGCAAAGCTTCTTTAGGTCGGGCCTGCTTTGTTGCCGAAATTCGATACAGTCGGATGGCTTAAAGCTGGCCGAGAAAGGACACTTTAAAGAGCTTTTCCTCATCCAGCGCATTCTGTACCAGAAACCGTGTACTTCGGAGGACACTTATTATTATCACCTCACGGCTAAGTCTATTAAAAAGCTCCGCGGTTGCTCTTGAATATTCATTATTATGCATCAGCCCATGCATCAAAATTTTCTTTTTAACGGAATTTCGAGTATTTTTCAAAAGCACGTTCGTGTAAAATTTTCAGAGTATTCGTATTCGCAGGCGGGTCTTCTTTTAACCAGAATAGAGAATTCATCCGATCAATCGCATGCTCGCCATCCTTCTCTCTCCTCGCTTCGATGTCTCTGAATTGCAATAAAACATCGCAAGAAGGCAAGTTGAGCTTTACTCGATTCAGAAAATTGCTCCAAAGTGGTGCACTCGATAATTATCGGCACGAGGTAGATTTCTTTTGCATCTGAAATTCGGCCAGCGAAGGTCAGGAGTAGAAGATTCTCCTCGAGTGACCTCCTTCAGTTGGATCGATGACCTCACTTATTCCTCTTTTTAACTATCGTACAGATGTGCACAATCACGGCAGAAAAATGAATATTCAACTCGCGAAAATCGACCTCCGGATTTTTCGTGCTCAACTTTGCCACGAGAATTAATTAATCCCTACTGCGAAGTACCATGGTTAATTATTTATTTTTTTTACCATGTCGATTAACAGGTTTTGGCCTTCGACCTCTGGCCCTAGGAGACGACGCGGTGATGCTCATGAGTTACCCCGGTGAACTCTTCATGAGGTTGCTGAAGTTAATGATTTTGCCGTTGGTCATCGCCAGCTTGATATCGGGTAAGTGATTTTATTTCTTATATCTTGTTAAAAGTCGAGATTTTAAATAGGAATCGAATGCAAAAATTGTAACCGGCACTAATCGCTCCTCCTCTTCAGGGTCGGCGAGTTTAAACGCGAGGATGAATGGGAAGATCGCAGTGAGGACTTTGTTGTACTTCATCCTGACTTCATTGTTGAACGCCATTCTCGGGGTTATTCTGGTGATTCTCATCCATCCTGGTGACCCTGGATTGAGGGAATCAGTCAACACCGTCACTCACACGAGGGTCGTCAATATCCTGGATAGTCTTCTAGACCTTGGAAGGTGACTACTGGATATCGAACCGCAATTTCTAATCAAAGTACAGAGTAGGTAATATACCCGATTCCGAGTGAAGCGCCCGTTATCGGTAAATTCGAGCACGAGTGCGAAGGAAACGGGCACTGTTCTACCTGGGCGAGGTAATTATAGCACCTCCCCGTATGAGGATTTAATCGGAATCGATTTCAAGAACTTTGGATTAAGCCGAAAGAGTTGGACGTCATTTCCGGCCGTGGAAATAACTACGTATCGATCGCACCTGTTTTATTCAAACGCGTATGAGGAGCGTTTGAAAGCCGCGATATATAGTCCCTCCTCGCGTTGGTTGACGAGTCGGACGGTTAGTTTTTCTTCAGGTTATAGTCCACCTCGACGAGGCCAGTCTATAAGAATTATTCTATATGATTCCAGGAACATGTTCCCAGATAATCTATTCCAGGCAGCTTTTCAACAGGTGAAGTACACCTTTTAAGAAATAAACGCTATCCCCTTTCGTCCATTCATACGACTCCATTCTCGAAACATGGTTTCTTCCAGGCCCACACGGTGTACGTTCCGAAGAAGCTGCCTTTTCAAAACGACACCGAGGAGTCGAACTCGGACGGAATGCCCGAGGAAGAGCTGATGCGAGTCATCCAGTACAGAAGCGGCACCAACACCTTGGGTATAGTCTTCTTCTGCCTGGTATTCGGCACCTTCCTGGGCACCATGGGCGACAAGGGGCAAGTGGTGATAGACTTCTTCAAGGCGGTGTTCGAAGTCACCATGAAAATGGTATCGACGGTCATGTGGTGAGTGGAGGTTCATCTTCGATCCGGTATTTAAATCGCTCTTGGGGAAGGTCCAGGTTCCATGGTAATACGTCACGTTCCAGGATGACTCCGGTGGGGATCACGTCGGTGATAGCAGGAAAGATCCTGGCGGTGGACGATCTCGGCCTGGTGATGTCGCAACTGGCCTGGTTCATCGTAACCATCGTAATCGGGGTATTTTTCTATCAGCTGGTGATCATGCAGCTGATCTACTTGGCGGTAGTGAGAAAGAACCCCTTTAAATTCTACGCCGGTCTGGCCCAGGGCACCCTCACCGCCTTCGCCATGGCATCAACGTGAGTCCGTCGACCTTGGACCCATCTGCCCATCATGCCCTCGTCCGACGCGTCTGCCTCACGTGGCCTCGGGGTCTTCAGTTCGTTCTTCATCTTCCGACCCTCTCGCTCTCTCGTTTCTTCGCCTCTCTCTTCTCGCCTAGCTCTACCTCTGCTTCTCCATCTTCGGTTTTTTCTTCTTTTCCGTCTGCTCCCGCCTGTTTCCCTTTCGTCGTCGCCACCTCGAGGACGGCCGGCGTCGTCTCTCTTCGAGGCTTTCGTCGTCACCTAGGCTAGCTCCTCCGTCGTATCTCAAGCGGAAAGAAATATGAAAGGGAGCCGTCCTGGCGTTCGTCCACGTTGCCGGAACGGGTGCCAGATCGTCCCTTGCCAGGCATTGGCATCGGGAGAATAATTTTAATAAGTCTTTGATATTTCTCTCCGTTCAGGGCTCTAGATAGCTCGGCAGCTTCCGACGATGCGACGAGACGGCGACGGCGTCCTCGAGGCTCCGGCGACGGAAGCACCCGAAAGAGTGCTCTCGTTTCGATTGATGACAGAGTGTGTTTCAGCCAGCCGGGATGGAGGCTTATGCGAGGCCGCCGCACTTCCTTCACCTTTTCCTCCAAGATCCATGTCATGGCCTCAGCTTTCCACGGCGTTACCGGCGACGCGGACCGGAAGACACCCGTCCAGTCGTCCGAAGTGCTTCGGCATTTATTCGGACACTTAACGCCGTGCAAATCTGACCACTCCCGAAATTCCTCTCTCTCAGACCCTCCTTGAAACTCGCCCGTTGCTCGCGAGAAACGGGAGCAAATCGTCATCTCCCTAAGAGAGGTATGCAGCTCCGGGTGGCACTTAGGACGCCGAATCCTTTCGATCTCTGCCGAGGTTCCCGATCTTTATATGTACCTCCGGGACCAGGGAACCGAGGCACGAGGTCGTTCTCGACGAGACTTTTCGGGAATTCCTTCCTGGACCGACTTCGATCGGGGATTCGAGTCGATTCGCTCATGGATCCTTTCGAGGACTTAAGGCGCCTCTGCATCGATCGGCCAGCTCCCCGGATCTTCGCGACCCACCATTTCAGGAGAGATTATCTTTAGAGGACGCTAGAGATCGGTCTAGACTCGGTAGACCCCCGATAACGAGCCGATAAATGCAGAGGCTCCCTTATCATCCAAGGAAGTTGGCCGACTCCGTGTCACCTGGACTGGTTCGGGTGCGGAAGTCAGAGGTCCTTTGCCTCCCGCGCTCTTCGGGTCGTCCCTCCTGGTTCCAGATCAAAAGAGAAGCGGACGATTCGACCTGTCGTCCGTGGGGAGGAAGAGGGATCGATGGTTTCTGCGCTAAAATAATATATCGAAGGTAACCAGGGCTGCGCGTTATCACCGAAACCGGTCGCAGTGTCACGAATCGACTGTCCGAGGTCTTCGAGAAAATTGCGCTACTCCCTTGGTTACCTTCAACACCGTTAATTAAGTATCGATTCGCGCATCAAGACCTGTGGAAGAAACTGGAAAAATATCAGGTGCTGGCGCCGATCGAGCTTTTCCAGGCCTTGCGATGAACTGATGACCATGCCGAGCAGAGCCGAGACTTCTATCATGGATCGCGTCGAGCAATGATCCATTTTCCCAGTTTCCCAGAGTCCAGCCTAGATTGTTCGACCTCGCTGGTCGTCGCTCGGGAACGACGGGTGCTCGGTGTCCCCACTTTCCGCGTCTCGGAAGTGTCTCCCCGGAAACCCCGAGCCCGGGGATGAATCTCGAGAAAATTTCCCAGAGCCAGAGGAGCGACACCTTTGGCCTTCGAAATTTCATTCGCCCGGGTTCCCGAAGTCTCCAAAACGTCCCGACTTGGAATCATCCGACACGATGTCCAATCTCGACTCCTCGCGCAGTGCTTTGAAAGCGCCCAGATCTCGACCCAGGCTTGATCAAATGACTCAACTTGTTTTCTGTGTGGATTAACTGTTTCCAGAATGCACTGAGTACAGTACACTGAACTGACCACTGAGAGCGCGTCTCAGTGTCTCATGAACAGACTATATGATATCATGATGATGTATTAGAAAGCGGCACGCGCGGCCTTTTGCAGGTGGTCCAGGTTTTCCTTGGTGGGTCTTGGTAAGTAAGATGGCCGCGGACGAAGGTACATTTCGTTTGTTCCAGGTTGGCCCGATTAACGCGAGCTTAGCGCGGGCAGGACACCCCCGATAACCCTCGAGTATAATTCTGATCTTTCAGTCCATTTGCGGTCATTCTGGCGAGCCCCTCGAGCTCGAAATTCATTTTTCGAGGACTTCTTTGGCAAGTCCTCACAGTCTCTAGTCGGCTCTCCGATGAGCCTCGCTTAGGAATAGGGAACCCCGTCCAGAACACACCTGTTGACTCCGATTTAAATTACGCGTATCTCTTAAAAGCTCGCGCCGTGAGGATTTAACGACACTCTCGGACAGGTTAGATACAAGTTCGGAAGATTTTTTGACCGAAACGGATACACGACTCGCGCCAGAATGACCATTTTCGATTAGCGGACGACGGCGTGGCAGCGTCTCATCGTTTACTTTTTGGTGCGCTCTTCGAGATATTTACTAACGCAGCTTTGCGCAGGGCTGCTGCACTTCCGGTGACTTTCCGACTGATGACCGACAAGCTCAAAGTCGACCCGAGGGTCACCAGGTTCGTACTGCCAATTGGCTGCAATATCAACATGGATGGCACTGCGCTCTTCGTGGCCGTCGCCAGCATCTTCATTGCCCAGATGAACGGCATCGTCCTGGGCTCCGGTGAAATCGTCACGGTGATGTAAGTTTAAACGTCGATGTAAAAAATTGACGAAAGACCGTACCTGGACATTTTTCATTTATTTTTACAGTTTGACTTCGACGGCAGCATCGGTCTCGTCGGCTTCCGTTCCCAGTGCTGCTCTGGTTCTTCTTCTCGTCGTCCTCAGCGCCATCGATGCTCCCGTTCACGACGTTTCCCTCCTCTTCGCCATCGACTGGTTTGTGTAAGTTTATCGCAGCATCCGTTTCTATTTAGTCTCCTGGGGTTAAGGAATTGAATGTAACTTAGTCTCCTCGAAATTTGTAATGTTCAGAGATCGCGTAAGAACCACCAACAACATGCTGGGAGACTGCTACGCTGCAGCCGTCGTTGAACAGTTGTCGAAGAAGGAGCTGATGGCCCTGGACGCGGCTGCATATCAAGTAATTTGATCGATTATTGCCATTGAAATTAATGTAAAAAAAATCCTTCCTATATCGCACTTCTTTTCCAGTCGGAAACGGTTCTGCCCACCACTATTGCAAATGGCTGCATTTCGGCGAACAGGGTACCGGATCCTGACACGATCGTCGTCGAGATGCAGGACGACTCGAGGATCACCGGGATCGCCAAGTAATCAAGCTTGTTGGTAGGGCTAGATTCATTTTACATTTTTCACGATCACGACTCATGGCTTGCTTCTTGCTCTTCCGACCTATTGTCCCCTTTTCCGTTGATAACGTTGACGTAGATCGATCCGATAGGGATCCAAGTTGCGTGGACTCGTCAGGATGAATGCCGAACGTTCGGCTCCACTGGGAACCCTTTTCCTCTCAGGACCCTTTCTTCCAGACCCTTGAATCCGCTTTTCGCTAAAGTTGGTCGACGTCGAGGAGTGCTTTTATTTTTCTTTAAGGCTTTTCCAGAAAATCTGTATTTTTTTTACTTTTAGCGGCATCGCTCTGAGGGTGCCGAGAAGTGTGACGGAGGCGACCGTCTGACCAGTGCCTAGGACTCCTTTCGTCGGACCACTCCGAGGAAAGGCGCCGATGAGGGAAGATTGGCACTTGCGTTCGAGTCCAATCGGGTGCTCGTCCAGGAATTCCCAAAATGGATCGCTAAAGGGTACATACAGCACGGCGTGAAAGTGCCACCGAATGTCGCTAACGGGTCCCCGCCAAGGTACCGATCTCGATCGGAAATGGGCTCGAAACTTCCCCTCCGATTTTTTCTGAACCCTTTCGTCGACGAGAGGATCCTTTCGATCGGCGACCCGAAGGTTGGTCGGAGTTCGTCGGTCGTGATGGAAAATCGGCACGGTCGCTCGGGAGAAAAATCGTGAGCGTTTTCGTTAATCGGGGAACCTTCTTGCCCACCTTCACCCAGTCAATACCGATCGGCTCGCTTCCGGCAGGATTTCTCAAGGGAAGTCTGCCTTGAGAGTGTTCCGCTGCCGGAAGTGTCCGGTGGATTCGTTGCCGATCTTTTTCACGGAAGGCTTGCGCTTCCACGAGGGATCGAGTCAATAACGTGTAGCAATAATAGAATTCAAGTATACTCGATGATCTTTATCTCTCAGTCTCATTGTCAGTATTTCGGTAGTCATCAGCTGACCAAGCCTGGTCATCGGGTTACCAGGTCGCGTATATTAGTATCAATTCTATCCAGACGGACTCTACTCGGCAATTTTTACGGCCCCAAAAATCGGCAAGGACCAGGTTTTTTTACCTTTACAATTCGCACTCTAGAACAGGCTCCTTCGAAAATCGAATTTCCATTAGTGACAGGTTTTCCCGTAATTTCCCAAATTTTCGGTAATCGTTGGGGGTCGATTAGTGTTGCGATCGGAGGTGCGTTGACTTTGATCCTCTCGACTCTGCGGTGTTATCTCGATTTAAGGGGTCCTGATTTCTCGGTCTCGACGCTCCGAAGGAATCCGATCCTCGAGCTGGCCGGTTCCGTTTAATCGATCGGAACGTTTCTTGCGATCGATCGCGCTCATATCGAGCGTCGAACGTGGGTGCCTTAAATTGTACCGAAGGTGCTGAAATCGATGAAAGTACGCGCGTTTTAGACTGTGTTTGTCGTGGAAGGTATTCGGTTCGCCGGGCTCGAGGTCGATCGTTTGGTTTCCAATTTGCGTTCAGAAAAAGAATGTCAAATCGAAGCGTAATCACGTATCACTAGACGCCCCACTTCGTCTCGATTTCGGATCTGAGTCGATGGACCATCCAACCTTTCAGGTCCAAAACCAGAAACCTGGTGACGGCTTAACCAAAAAGTAGTCTTGCTCTACCTCGGAAGAAAGAACACTGCCGATCAATTTTACGAGAAAAAAAAAAATAATAATAACAATAAGACTGCTGTTGCTCGTCTGATTAGAGAGTCGAGCATTCGATACTGCTAACAAGAAATCATTTTCTTCACTGACACGGTAAACCGATCCCGAGGAACAAACGGCAGTACGCGATTCCTTTTTTCTTCTAAAGAAGTCATCGATATCTTCTGATTAAGAAGGGACACGATAACCGCGTTTCTCTGTGAAAAAGCTAGAAAGGGTCGCTGACTCTTATCGATTCCAAAAGGCAGTAGTCATTTTTCTATGGCCTTTCTCTCTATTATGGGGAGCGGGAGTCTCTTAAGGCGGAGAGCACGATGCTTTGTCTTTCGGAGGGGAAATCATTTTAATATATAATATAGCACTGATAACGGTATTATATATCAATAAGTTTCTTCCGTATCAAGCCAAGGAAGGTCTTCGATAAATAGACGCGTCTCCAGACACCACGTAAGGTCCGCTGAACAACCGGGATATAAAGGGAGCCGACGATTGATCTCGTGACTCAATAGACAACGATCTATCGTCTCGATTTTTATCACGCGTCCGGCGAACCCGACTACTTTCTTCCCCTCAGCCTGTGGCACGATAGTGGCAATAAATTGAACCGTAAATGCGATTTGATCTCGTGCACTCGCACGCGATTGAGTAGAATACCATATGCACCGTGCGATGCTATCATCGGAGTTATCACGGAGGGTGAGTAGTTTAGTAAGGAATTATTTCTCGAAATTACTCTCCCTTTTTTGCAAGAAATCCGAGACAAATTTACTCATCACAATTTGCCATCCTTCCTCTGTAACACTACCAAGATAGGGATAGATAACAGATTAACACCTGAAGCTTAAGTTGAATTTTTGGACGTTATGAATTCCCTTTTTGTCTTTCATTTTCTGGGATACCATTTTGCAATACCGAATCAACGGAAAGGAACAATAACTGACTTAGCTCTTCTCGATATGACGACTTTTGAATGTCCATAACAAAGTACGGAAATGTTGAGCGAACATTCGTCTACCGAGTCTTACTCCACTGTCGATATCTACTGATGAAGTGGATTGATATGCACGAGAAAACGTAAGCCAACCTTTAGAGCAACGGCGAGTGGATTCATTTTTCAAATATTCCGCGATTTCATGGCGTTTTTCGTAATTTAATACCCCTACTGAGTCATGCTACGGTAGGTCATAGGACATGAAGATCGGATCGTACATTTTGATAATCCTACGTCTAACTCTCAGTAAATCACACCTTTCATTAATAAACGAGGCCTCCCAGCTGACACATATCATTGTGACGTGAACATTGCATAACAAGTATAACTTACGTATGAACGAGTCTCGCGAACTTTCAATATTCTGGCTTAAGAATTATTGACAGAGTTTATTAGATGTGACATAATAATCCGGTCTTACCGCTAGGGACAGCCTTCGAAAGCATACAAATTGTAAAAAAAAAAAAAAAAATAGCGCGATTGCGATTTACTTCCCAGAATGTCAGAAAACCAGCAATCAGAGGTTCGCGAGATTTGCTCACGGAATTAATTTCACTCAGATGTAATAAGCACGTATCGATTATGCTGTATAAATTATGTAACATCCGTATAACGAGGGGATATTAACAAGTGTAAAACTGTACGCGTAGGAAATAGTTACTTGCAAGTAACGTGCGATACCTGTCACGGATAACGTCATTATCTTCAACAAGCCGGAGTGTAAGAGGCGATTCTTTCGACCCGATAAATAATGGCCAATTTATGCAGACGAGGACAAGTCGTATTAACTTTTTCCAGTGACACTTTTCCTACGACATCTCATTAAACGAGTCTTTTATACGTAGACTAACGAGCACAGAGTTCGACATTTGTAAACGGAGTGCGTTTTACATCCCGTTCATATAATTGTTATCTAGAGCGAATAAACCGAACAAATGCAGGACGCGTGCGAAAATATGTTGCAACAATTCTCGACAAAGGGAAGGGTTAATAAGGCGGCTCCTCGTTATCAACAGCCACCGAGGTGGATTTCTTTTTCCCGGATCGAAAGTATCGGCCGTCTCGATACTCGAGCCTGTTGAAGACAATGATCGTTGTTTGACGAAGGATGTTGACGACATCTTGTCGAATGTGTTAATTAATGAATTAATTTGCCGCTGAATTTTCAGCCTAGGCCGACTCCGAAGTTCGGGTCATCTTTGCGAGTTTTAACGCGACTCTTGACTTAAGTCAGCTGATTTTAGTAGGCCGAAAGCTCCGTAGCCAGTTTTAGTGCTCCGGCCTGTTGAAGACAATAAGTTTAGCCGTGGCAATATCCATGCTGTACAAGGTGTTTCGTGTTTCCTGGATAATCATGTGAAAGGGTGTAGAGTGCTGTACGACCGGCTCTCGATTTTACATCGGTTTTTTAAGGACTCGAGGGGTCTGGGCAATCTGCGCTTTTCAAAGGCACCGTTTCAATCATTGTTCATACATCTAGGATTTAAGATCGTATCGCGGACGATCGAGTTTCGGCTCGTCGATCTCCCGATCGGTGATCGAGGATCTTCGATCGGGACTATCGCATATCTCCGCGAGTTACGCGATTCGAGTGATACGACGTAACGAATCATGGTGAAAGATCGACCGCTCGGAATTTCGGCTCGAGTTTTCGACCCTCTCATGTGATGGTTGGCTATTCCTATCCGTTTGCCAATGACTTATCGTTAGGTGCTAGATAGGTCGACGTGTGTATACCGTAGCTGCTAAGCTGATGTACAGAACCAGATACAGAAGGCGTAGTTTTAGCGGTTGTTGTTGTTGTTTCGAGTCGCAAGGCTCGCGAGTCCGAAAAAGGACTCGAAATCGGGAATCCGGAAATGCACCGATTCCCAGCTGCATCGGGATTACTCCGACATGATGTAGCTGACGGAAGACCAACTCTACCGAGATATCCCCTACGTATTACATATACGTGTACCTAAGGTAAAAAGTGTTACGTCGGTATGCAGATTTATACACGAAACGACAAGATGACCTCGGTGTATTTTCTTCCACCCTGACCTTCCACTTATTCGGCATCGCTTCCGAGAGCTTATAAAAAATGCAATATTCGTGAATGTGCGGTGATGGGTCAGTCAAAGTCCCGACGATTTGCTAAAAAATTCATTTATTAAAGCCCACGACACCGTGGACGCTTCAGGGGGAGTTTGTACAACGTGAGAGAACAATTCCGCATTTTTATACAAAATATGGTATATCTATTTATAACGTTTCCATGCGTTCGCGCGACACCAACGACGTGTCTCGCGATGAGCTTCCTGTCCTCGGCGAATCCCAACGCGTTTACAACGAGCTCGAGGTCGAGGATGAAGACGAGGAACGAGGTAGTTCTTCCGCATCGAAAACGGAACGCCACGATAATGGTCAGTTCGCTCGTGGCCCTTCTGAGTGCGGCTCGATCGATCAATCGATCGATTTAATCTCGAATATTACTACCTACTTTACGCGCAACTGTACAGTCCAAAGTAGCGTCGCCGTCGTGTCTCCAGGATCCACGAGGACGAACGCGAGCGTCGCAAAGATCCGACGACAGTCTATCTTTTGATTGTTATAACGAAATAATTAATAATAGGACCTATGTACAGGATCTACTTACAAGCTATCCGCTCCGACAATGCCGTATTTACATTAATTCAATAGGTTCGCGTCGACGTCGCTCGCGAGGCCGATAATTTACTGACATATTGCAACATATCGATACGTCCGTTAATCCAAGTATTGTACAACAGGTGTGACAGGGATGAGCGCAATTATCACTTATCGTACGTACTTCGTCTAATAGTTACGACCCACGACAGTAATTTCCATCTAGACTCCACGATGAGTACGTTCAGACCGATCGCCCGGTAAACCCGGTAAGTACCCCAATTCACGGTAACTTAAACGTAATTTGTTTTCGACCTCATATTTAAGTTAGGCGAATTTCCATGTCCTAGGTTATGGCGATCGCAGATTAGGCCCGTGAAGCCTTGGAAGAGGGTTCAGCCTCTTCAGTCTCAGATCCTAAGTTCCGCCTCGGCGACTGGGATGCCTCTTGGAGGACCAGGGTTCGATCTCTGGGTCGTGGGGGGTACCAGAGGGCTGATGCTGGGACTTCTGGTGGCGAGGGGCGACAGGGACGGCGAGAAACTAGGACTCAGTGCAGCCGAAGGAAAGGTGGAGGCGTCGTGGCTGATGGGCGATCTTGGAAGGATCCCTCTGGCCAGCGCAGGTGCCGCGAGTGATCTCGGGGCAACAGAAGTCAGGAGGGGTGGCGGGGGTGCCTTATGTACAGTTTTCCCTTTACTGCTGCTCCCAGAGTTCCCACTTTGCACACTAGCCGCGTCGTCTTTCAGACGAGCGATCTCACTGAAGACGTGGGCCAACGGTTGGTACTGGGGACCCCAGTCCAAAAGATAGTCCCAGTTGTAGGACCCCGTCAGCTCCTCCTCACTATGGACTATGGAGCTGAGGGAGCCGTTCATGGAGGGTCCACCGGGTGCCTCGAGACCCGAAGTGGATCTCCCGGGTTCCCCGATTTTCCCGTAAATTAAGGTCGCGATGTCCGCCTCGGTGGCAGCTTCGTCCTCGAAAAGGTGGAGGCTGTCCAGAGGTAGGGCCTCTGGCGGCCTTCTGGGTGTTCCAGCTGGGGGGTCGACTATTCCTAGCCTGGCAAGGTATTCCTGGGTGTTGTGCACCGACAGATCGCTCGCGGAGTCCCCCGTCTGTTGGCCTTCGTTGATCATCCTGATCTCCTCGTCGTCGCCGTCATCTTCCGCCGACCCCCGACCGGAAGAGCCGGACTGGTCGCTGCCGGACAGCTCGGAGGTCGCTTGCTGTTGCCCAGATTGACCCGAGGTCCCATATGGTGGGATCTCGTCATACTTTGGTGGGGCAAACTGGCAAGAAGCACCACCACCACCCCCGCCCCCCGTGACGCCGCTTCCACCGCTGCCACCCCCGGCACCGACGCCACTACCGACGCTTCTTATAGGAATCGTGTCGAAGGCACTTGGGTCCACGTAGCTGTTGGACGCCGTGGCGTTGCTCTCCCCATTGAGCCCCGGCTTCGTCCCAGGTTTTTTGTGCCGCTTGTTCCTAAAGTAGAGGTACAAGAAGATAGCCCCGAACGCGACCACCAGAAGAAGCAGAGCTATGAGGAGACCAAGGGCCCAGTCCGACATCCCTCTCGCAGCGGCGACGGCCATGTTGGATCCCACATCCGTTGACGTGCCCGACGACGAGGAGGGGTAGCCATGGTGGTCTCCGTCTTCGTCCAACCTGATCTCCACAACCGTCATGTTGGACAGGGAGCCTTGCCTTCCGGAACTGGCCGATACCACTAGCCTGGAGGACTCCTCGACGTCGGAGTCGATGTTCACCTTCTGCTTGAGGATCAAGGCCCCCGTCGTGCGGTTCAGCTTGAAGTACGGATGCTGGGAAGTGAGCTGGTAGACCACTCTACCGTCTGGACCCTTGTCCCGGTCCGTCGCCGTGACGTGACCTATCACAGTGCCTGGGAGCAGTGGAGTGCCGCTCCTTATTCCGAACCTGTACATCCTCTCGGTGAACTGAGGATAAAACTCATCCCTGGAGTCGATTTCCACCCTCACTCGAACCGCCGCCGTCCTGCCACCGGTGTCGGTGGCTCTCAGCGTAAACGCGTACCGATTGCGCTGCTCGTAGTCAAATATCGCCCTCGTCGTCACGGTCCCGGTCTTCGCGTCCACCGCGAAGAGCCTCCAGGAGTCGTCGATATCGGAGAATCCTGTCGCAGCCGCCGAGACGATGGAGTAGTTGAGGGTGCCGAAGATGCCGCGGTCGAGGTCGGACGCCCTGGCGGAGAAGACGGTGGTACCGACGGGCTCGTTCTCGCCGACGAACTCAAGGTACTCCGAAACCGGGAATTTGGGCGAGTTGTCGTTGACGTCCTCGAGCCGTACCCTCAATCGAGCCAGAGCGCACAAAGGAGTTACGGGATCGGTGTCGCAGGCCATTACGACCAGAGCGTGTACTTCTGGGCCCAGGTCGCAGTCCAATGTCGCGTTCACCAGGACGGCGCCGGACGTGGTGTCTATTCTGAAGAGACCGGCGTCGTTGCCGGAGGTAATATCGTAGACCACGGTGGCGGCGGGACTTCCGGGAAGGTCTTCGTCCTTTGCCCGAAGGATGGCCACGGTACTTCCACGCGGAGCGTCCTCCTTAACCGCGACTTGGTAGGACTCTTCGAGAAACCGTGGGTAGTTGTCGTTAACGTCCTCCACGACGACCACCACGGTGACCAAATCGCCGGTTTCCAAGACGCTGGCGGCCGTGGCGTTGTCTTCCCTGGACCCGAGTCCCAGGACATATCTATCCTTCCTCTCCCTGTCTAAGTTCCTCGCGAGGATCAGCTTCCCTCTCGACACCTCGAAGGACCCGTTGTCGTCCCCGGAGACCACGTTCCCGTCCAGCAGGTCCACGTCGGACAGCCTCATCAGGATCGAGCCCTTCTTCGCGTTCTCCTTGACGGACACCTTGTATTCCTTTCCTGGCTGGCTGGTCTTCAGGCTGCTCAACCTGACGATGACCGAACAGACGGACGATAGAGGAGGTTTTCCAAAATCTTCGGCAACGACGGCTAGCTCGATCTCCTTTTCCAGGGGCCTTGGCAGGGAGGTCCTGTTCGCCATTATAACCCCGGTACCAGGATGTATCGAGAATCCTTTGACAGGCCTCAACAGATAATACCGGATCCTGCTGTTGTCCTCGGTCAGATCGTCATCCGTGGCGTTCACTGCCGTGATTTCCTGCAGATCCTCTCGTCCTTCTGAAAAGAAAGAAATGGCGTTGGTCATGCACCTCGGGGCGAGAAAAAATTAATGATGGCGTCAACCTCTTATTTTATCCTTTCTCCCGCCTCGGCCCGCGCGCGATATAATTAATACCTTCCAATGGATTTCACTCGTCCAGAGGAAACGATTAAAACGGATCACTTTGCGCTCCTCTCGTCCGACTCGGCAACGGGATCGGTACGGATTCTGCCGGAGCCGTCCAGAAGAAATCTAGTCTGCCATTACTTTAATTGACGACCGATACTTCATGCACGGACAGCGGCTGATAAAAAGGAACACGCCGGTGCTTATCCATTTTTCACGTACATTGTAACGGAACGAATACAAAGTGGAAAGTTTCACCCGTGGCCAAGTGAGATATTGCCCAAGTTATTATCACCGACATCCTTCGCGCATTATACATGGGGGTGGAACCAATCGAATTAGCCTGCGCCCCTTTTGGTCCTCCAATGGAGCAAAGGCAACGCTTCTCCAGAAGCATTTCAACGATATAATTATTCTCAAATATTTCTACACGGATGATATCTAAATTCCAAAGCCCATGCCCCGCTCGTTTATTTAATATCATCGTTATAGCAACATTGGTTAAGCACGATACGCCGAACCACGGAATACCAAGGCGTTTCCTCTGGCATCGAGGGAAGGTAGTCTCGAAGCTCCTGGCGCATGTACGTCAGCATCGAATGCAAATTGCGAGGGCCCTGACGGCCAAAAGCGCCATTAGGCTTGGGCCTATGTATCTTTAATAAGTTTCGAGGGAGAGGGGCCGAGAGGGCCTCTCTTTCTCTTCCTCGCTTTCGAATGCGATCGAAGGAACCGACGTTCCACGAGGGAATGAGAAAAAGAAGCAGAGAGGCGGCTTCATGGTTGCCTCGCAAACGGTGTCCCCATGATTATTTATGTTCGTGGCCCGCCTGGTGCCCTCTCGCTCCCACTCGCCTCTTCCCCGTGGTCCATCCTCCTCCCGCGTTATCGCGGCTTGGTGTCAATTCGAGTTTGGAACACGAGCAAACAGGACAACGTGTGTCTAACCAAAAACCTGTTTTTATGCAGCGCATCCATTCTGCAAGCGCGTCTTAAAAGCCGCGACGCGCTGACGCCGCGACCCTCCAGAGCTCTTCGAGACCCTCCTTCGTGGTCCCCGTCTTGGTCCCGCCTTTCCTCCCCAGCTGGAGCACTCGCCTCCACCGAACTCTCTCAAAAAGCAGCGATACCAACCTGACAGGGTCGCCACGTAGGCCGGTTGCTGGAACGTGGGAGCATTGTCGTTGAGGTCGGTGACTCGGACGATCAGCTCGGTGCTGGCCTCGTGGACCCCGTCGCTGGCCAGGACTTGAAGAGCGTACTCCGATCGCTCCTCGGCATCCAGGTTACCTCGAAGAACCACCTTCCCACCGTGTCGATCGATGCCAAAGGGCCCGGAATACGTCGAGTTCCCGAAATTGTAGATCAGAGCCGGGGAGCTGTCCACGTCGTTGGCCGTGATGGTCGTTAGGACCGTGCCCATGGCGGTTCCTGAAATCCAGAAGAAATTTCACTAATTTTCGAAACTAACGTCGATTTTTCTCATGAACCTCGGTAGAATCGCATCCACCGTGGTTTCTAAAATCTAGGGAAAAGATTCCCTGGTTCCTGAAGCCGATGGTAATTTTTTAACGCAGGTTGCCGCGGTGGTTATTAGAGTCGCGCCCATCGCGGTTCCTGAAACCGAGGGAAAAAAATTCGACGATTTTCGAAGCCGTTGGTAATTCTTTAATGGAGGGCGAGATCGTGTGCGTACGTACACGTATTCGGGGCAAACTTATGTCCGGTACCGGAGAGCGCAATAATTAACCTCGACATTTGGCAATGCCGAGGCACAAAGCGGAGAAAGAAAGCAACGAGTGCGTTCTCGGAAGCTACTGAAACACGTTTCTACCCTGGCGGATACTTAAAATGCATTGAATCCTGCCTATCAAGTCGTTTCATCTGGTTTGGCCAGTCTGAGCCAGGATCGCTAATCCATTGGTAGAGGAAGGCTAGAGTCCTGAGCTTCCTAAACGAATGTAGGAAGCTTCCTACGATCCTACGGCTTTCGTCCCTTCTCTACCTACGGGGTATCAGCTCCTATCCTCCTTTGTGTTTCTTTCAAGCAAGACGTCCGATTGAGATGTAAATCAAAGCATTGCCTCTATAATCCTCCACCCACCGCAAAGTCCGGATCATTAGGGTCGCCTTTTTCTCTCCACAGATTCCGGCAAAAAAAAAAATAGAAACATCTAACAGTGTTCAGTCTCCAGCACGAGGAACGTCACGTCGGCCGATAATCCCCGCGTTAATCAATTCGTTCAGAATTCCCGCAATTTCCAATTAGTCCTAATTCTCTTGACAAGGAACATTTATGGCAGTGGATTATTCGGCAATTAATTTACACGCGTAATTCATGTTGCCCACTTACGGGACTCCCGAAATTAATGCGCCCCTGGCGGATTGTTATCAAGATACACGCATCCTCCTGGATGCTGCGACCTCGAGGAGGGAGGGAGGGGAAAGGAAGGAGAGGAGAAACAGAGGGACTATTTGGCACGCGGCTGGTCTGCTCGTAAATTCCGGGTAAACCGTTAACGTCCGACTAAATCGGTTTCCAGAGCGACCTCGTCCTCGCGCAAACCTACGTGCGCGTTCGGCCGAGGTCGAAGGACCAGTCACCTTCTCCTTCGTCCTTCTCTTCGCAAATCTTGTCGCCGGGATCCCGGAAGAGAGGAGGGAGGAATTCCGAGCCACGTGACGCGGCGCTCGGACTTTGAAGAGGGCCTTGAAGAGGTTCGGATTACCGCTCGCGAAATGGTCGAGCAGGTCCCACTGATAAGCTGGCCGAATAGGAATCGAGAAAGCGGCGATAAAGGCGATAAGGACTGCCATTCCGTCGAGATACCCGACGGTCGGGATGGACCGCTGCAGAGGAGGCTGCTCCCTATTAAAGCGTCCTGAAATCCTGTCTACCCTATCTGATATACAGGAGTGCTAAAGGACGAAACTATGTTTCCCCCTAAACAGCCGCTGGGAGCAAAACGAGAGAGGATGTTCCTTCGTGGAGGACTATTTGTCAATTTCGAAAGGCAGTTTTATTTTTGATTTTGGACCCGCCTCCTTCGCCGAGGCGGCCCGAGGAGGGAAGGAAAAAGCCGGCCGAAGAAATAAATTGAATTTTCTACCTAGTCGGGGGACCTTAGTCATGCGCAATATCTGGCAAAGTGATTCCCGACCGCAGAGTTCGAAGGTGCATCCTGATGCACGAGTAGAAGAGGGGCCACCAAGGTTCGTCGGGGCTCCATTGAATCGTATCTGTCAATGGGGAACAATATGATGGCAGAAGGAGGAAGAGGGTATATAAACAAGAGGGACGGAGGGAGAGGGCCAGATACCCTCGAAAGATGAAAAAGAGAGAGACGGCCAGCGCCAGAGGAGGAAAGAAGAGGAGGAAGAAGCAGAAGAGGGTCGTGCACCGTGCCGGCAGCCAACGCGCATCTAAGTTATGCAGATTGTTCCGAACAGTTGGACTTTAATACCGACATAAATCCTTTACCACTTAACTTTATATTTTGAGAGCAGCGCACTCCCACCTCGTCCAACTTCTCTTTCGCGTTCTTCGACACTTGCATCGTTTGCACTCTTTCTATTCGACACCTCGGAGCCTCGTTGGCTGTAGGACGTCTTTCTTTCTCGCCTCTTTCTTAGCGATGCTCATCTTCCGAGGTACCCACCAAAGGTAGCCGAGCGACGTAAAAAAAGTATGCCGATCTCCACCTTTGAGATTGAATCTCCAAATTGAAATTTGGTCAAATCTAGCGCGGCGTCTGGAAAACCCCGCGCGAGTGGCTCGACGATTTTTCCTACTTTCAACAAGTTCGATGAGTCGTGACGGACAAAGCTTCGAGTGTACTGATCGATTACCTCGCGCCTCGGACGGTCTACCTTGAAGAGAGATACCGAGGGCTATTTTGACGTCGGTGGCGATGACTCGCCCCAGCTTATTGGGTAATTACTGGCGGATAATTAAGCAATTACCGCAGACGTCGTTACGTCTGCTTAATCGCCTGGTGTCGAGGAGGAAACTGTGATGAACGATGCGCCATGATGAAGGTTAGGCCATTTTTTAGCAGGAGACCGCAGAATATTTCCCCGAGACTCTACGCCGAGAGACGTTTCCCCGACGCGAAGGAATATAACGTCTTCGTTGGTATTTAGTGGAATCATGCAAAATGCACTTACCCTCGGATACGGATATGACGTTGTGCTCTGGAAAGGTGGGCTGGTTGTCGTTCACGTCGATGATCCGGACGCTAAGGGCGGCGGTCCCGGTCAGCTGTGGATTTCCCTGATCGGTGGCGATGATGGTCAATCGATACTTCTCTCGAATCTCGCGGTCCAGGACGATGTTCGTCCTCACTACGCCACTGTATGGAGGACTGATGGTGAAGGCATTATCGGGATTACCGTCAACGATGTGGTAGAGGATCCTGCTGTTAAGACCCTGGTCCGCGTCGCTGGCCGATAGCTGGAGAGAAAACTTCGTGATTAGCGATGCCTTCGACGATCTAATTTTTACATTCCTAGATTCCAAACCGGAGGAGTCCACGATTCAACGAAGGTTGCTCGTACCTTGACCACGAAGTTCCCCTTGGTGTTGCCTTCGAGGACCGTCGCGGAGTACTGAATCTGCGTAAAGACTGGTGGGTTGTCGTTGACATCGGACACCCTGACGATGAGTTTGGAGTAGGCTTCCAAAGGATCTGGACCAACGGTCCTGGCGACCAGTGTCAAGACGCGCGTTGCACTCTCCCTAGGCGTCTGCTTCGTCTGCTGCCCCTCCAAAGACCTCCCCCAAGAGTTGGTCCTGTCGACTTCTTCGACCCCTTCGTCGGCCTCGACCAATCCATTCCACACCTCGGCGTCTAACCTGGAAGGCTCGTTGACCCTGACCAGGCCACTGTCTTCGTCAATGGCGAAGGTCTCCGAATCATCCCCGGAAGCGATCGAGTAGGAGACGTGGTGACGTCTTCCATCGGACCTAACCGCCGTCACCTGGATGACTTCGGTGCCGACTGGGGAGTTCTCCTGGACCACGACTTCGTACGTGTCGTTCTGGAACTTCAGGGTGGTCAGCTCCGACACGTCGCCGATGCGAACTTCGATCATCCCCCTGGAGCTGAGAGGAACGTTGCCCTTGTCTCTGGCGACGATCTCTAAGTGGTAGACCCTCCCGTTATCCTGGGCAAGGGACGAGGTCGACGTCACCACGCCGGATGTTGGATGTATCCGGAACTTCGGTTTATCCTGGGCGTGTAGAAAGGAGTAGACAATTTCTCCATTGGCGCCGATGTCCGCGTCCGTGGCCGACACTCGAACCACGTTTTGTCCAGGTTGCGAACTCAACGGAACTCGGGCTCTGAAGGGGTATTCCTCGAAGATGGGAGCGTTGTCGTTGACATCCATCACCGTGATCTGCACCGGTACGGAGGTAGACTTGGCGTCGTATTTCCCACCATCGGTGGCCACCACGAGGAAGTTGTAGACACTGCGACGTTCTCGATCCAGAGGACTGTAAGCAGGACAAAGAGAAATTTAAGTGCCGATGATCGAAACAGGGAGCCGAAAAATTCTTGGACGGTATCGCATCGATTTTGGAATCGTCAGCGATATCGGCAGGGCGGGCAAAGAAGGGAGATGCAAACGAGTGGAAGGGAACTCGAGGGAGTCCGGATTTAAGCTCGGAGCGAACTTGTTTGTGTGACGGAAGCCTTAATCGCGAACGGCGATCTTGTGTAATCCACGTCCGCCATTACCATAACTTTGCGGATCCTCTCCGCCTCGGTGCAGGCTCTTCTGGCCGATTCTGACGGTCGTTTTGCGTCTTAAATCCCGCAAAAGGCTACCGAACGATGCCTTAGAGAATTTCCGTTGAATAAACCCCACCGACGACCTGCGAATTGGTATACCGGCGAATCAACTGGGCCGCGGAATTATGCGCCGTCATTTTTCGCGAGCGGAGGCAATCTTATTAGACCGGAACCCGATGATCTCCGAGCAAATCCAATTGATCACGGAGGTAGAAAGATTTGTCCTGCTGCGAGTTTCAGTTCTGGTAGCACAACGATTGGCGTTTGCTTAAGATCTTAGGTCGGTCAGGAATTTCATTAAATAAGTGAATTCGAAGCTGGGGATCGAACCCAATAAACGAGATTGGACGCAGTCGATTCGCAAATGGACACATCAAACGAATTCCTGCGTTAAATGCGGTGCTTCACCGGGTGGTCCGAAAACTACTCTGCGGTAGCCGCGATACTTTGTGGCGGTCTTAGGCCACGCGTTGCTGAAGAAACAGCAACAGCCGAGAGCGGCTCCCGTGCGGCCAACGGAAGAGGTAGTGGCCACGGTTTTGCATATCAGCCTTTTTGCCGGCTGAAATAATGCATTGAAATGCCACATGGTGTCTTGGTGAAATGACACACGGCTGTCGCGCTGCAAAAGCACTCCTTCTCCATTCTTCCTCTTCTCCTTCTGGCTCCCCTCCTTCTACGGCAGGCGTCCCTCTCGGCTCCGATCCCGGACCAAGGAGGAACCGAACTTCCCTCGGGGCCAACCTCGGTGGTTAGCCACGGAACGTCTGGCCCGAGCGAAAAGGACGAGCGGCCCTCGAGATATGCAGATTAATAAACAAAGATTCGAGTCGGCACGAGGGTCCTTGTCAAAGGACCGGGAGGACAACCGTTTCGACTCTAATCCTTGCAGCCTCGCTTTCGAGGGATTAAGAACGCATCCCCAAAAACCTATACCACTCCGAGTCCTCGTCCACCGTGTCTAAGGCATGTCGAAGCAACATAGTAGCTTCGACGCGATTCCTTTTATTCTCCTGCACCTGGAGTCGTTCACCCAACTTGGCTCCCCAGGCTGCAGGAATTCATGCCACGAAGGGAACGCGTAAAGGTGCGAAGAGCATCGATGAAGTTTGCGGCTGCAACCTGCTGACGCTAAGGAAGAAGCTCATCCGTCGTATGTCGGAGTCTAATGCCGAATGACGTCAAGGACTATCCTCGCTGGATGTCCAGGGTTACGCTGGAGCTTTATGCCTCCTGAAATCGCCTAATCGTTCCCACCGTCCTCGGTTGTCGAGGCACTTTATAATTTTACGACATTCTCTTAGGTCCTTGTGCGGCTTCTATCCTACTTGTCCCCTCGCCCAGGGTTTACACCACGACGCCTATGTTCCTGGGCGATCCTAATCGCGCGAGCAATAAAGGACGTGATAATTGACGGGACAGCGGGAAAAGAGATGAAAAGGGACCCTGGCGTCACCGAGACCAGGGAGCATGGAATACGTCTTACCCGGCAGTGGTTATGACGCCGGTCAGGTTGTCGACCCTGAATAACCAAGATGTCTCTTCGGCTATGGCGTAGGTGATCTTCCCGTTGGTACCCTGGTCGGGATCCGTCGCCTTGACGGACATCACGCTGGAGTCTGCCGGAACGTCCTCCGAAACCGTCGCCACGTACTTCCCTGGGATAAAATTTGGAGGGTAGCTCCCAGCACCGTACTGGCCGAAATGCTGGATGCCGAAGTTGTTGAAGTCCTGGGAAGAGCCACCCATCTGCACCGGACGAGGTCGGGTTTCGGTGTACTGGTTTTGTTCAAAGCTCGGGGCGTTGTCGTTCACGTCCAGGACTATCACGGTGAGGTTGCAGCGGGCCTCCAGACTAGGTCGACCTCGATCTTTGGCGGAAAGTGTGAGGACGTACTTCGAGATGGTCTCGCGGTCGAGGCTGGAGGCTGACAGGACCCCGGTGGAGGAGTCCAGCTTGAACTTTGCTCCGATATTACCACCTGCGGCGAGAAATTAAATGGCGTCTTAGAGAAGAAGCTAGGAATCCTCGATTTAGGGCGAGCGATTAGGAAGTTCATCCACTTACCGACGATGTTGTAGAGGATTTCTCCGTTCTTCCCCTCGTCGATGTCCCGTGCCGCCACGGTGTGGAGAACGGCCGGTTCCTGGTTTTCCGGAACCGCCAGGGTGTAGCAGGAACCCGGTTTGAATTCCGGGCTGTTGTCGTTCTCGTCCAGGACTATCACCTCCAGGTTGGTCAGGTCCAGCAATTTGTTGGACCTCGCCAGAATGGGAACGAAATATCTGGGAGTGACCTCTCTGTCCAGGATCCCTCGCAGCGTTACCAGGCCGTTCGGCGAGATGGCGAACTTGTCGTCGGCGACGCCACTAGGGATGCTGAAGCTGACGTTTCCTAAAAATAGAAGCCATCGCTTTATTACCTATCCAACTCATAGAATTCCTTGGTTTCGTCATCCCACCGACCCCCCCACTAGGCTACCAAATCTCGGCGATAAATAGCCATAAAGTCAACGGCAACATCCAGACGCGAAACGCATCTGGCGGATCCCGCGATCGTTCCGGGCAACATTGTATCGCGGCGTCGGTCTCAGGATGGCGACATCCGATTCCCAGCCTCGTTACACGACTGGTTCCGTGGGCCGATTGTGTGGGCAGCATTGCGTTTAGTAAACAGCCGATCGCGCGTTTAACCCAGAAGAAAAGAGGAAGGAGATAGGACGCACGGGAAGGACCAAGAGGGATGACTCGGGCGGGTCCAGGGGACCGGTCACGTCATCGCCGCCAATTACAGACTTTGTCCGCACGAATGGCGGATTCCGAAATTTTTCAGCGACCGTGCTTCCACCTCCCTGTGTCCGGTGGACGTGTTACGGTCCTACGACGACACGCCATCACGTCACGAAGGAGTCGTGAAAATCGTCGCCGAAAGATCCGTGTAGGTGGTTGTCGGTCCAGCTAGGTGGGATCCGTTCTCCGAGTCGCAGGGGCCTCGACGCTGCATCCCCGTTCCCGATGCATTCGGTTTCTCAAATTCCAAGGGCCGGCGTTTAGCCTGTTGCGGCTTTTTTTAGCGGAATTAGACAAAGCCGGCGGTGCGCGGCTGTCGTCGGATTGTGCGTATCGCCGAGGCTTCTCCTGAATGCTTCGGTGTTGGTGGAGGAGCGGTGATTTGCCTATGCGTACCGCGGCAGTTCAGCGGCACGATGATATACGCGGCCATTGTTCGCCGAGTCTCCTTCTCCCTCCCTGCACCTCCCGTGGGCTTCGTTTGCTGCCGCGTCTCGTTCTTTTCCTCTTTTCTCCCATGCTCTACCCAGCCTCCCCGACACCGTCGCCGCTGGTCGGCGCGATCCAGCGGCCCAACTTTCCAAATGCCTGCCCCGCCGATTTTTCGCCACTTCTCAAAAGGACACGGCGACTAGGAATTGCGCAAAGTCCTTCGCCGCTGCGATCGGTGCCCACCATCGCGTCATACCTCCGCCCGGGGCGCCGACCCTTAACGGCAGGAAGTCGCCTCTTTGACCGTTTTTGTCCGTCGGGGACTCACCCCGTATCATCTTTGAAACCTCTTTTTTACCCCTCCAGGAGGGCTAACCTTTATTAAGAGTTCACCCGGGCATTATTGGGCTCCCTGGGCCCCATCATCGTGTCGAGTTACGCCGAGCCTCGACAGATGGCCAAATCCTCCTCGGGTACCCCAATTACTAGCTGCCTGGTTATGACCTCTTATTCGGCCGGAGATTTCGAGGGAGGTCTCACTTTCTGGGAGATATGTTCTAAGGAGGAAATATCCTTTATCCGCGAACGAGCGCCTCGACGCGCAAAGCCAGATTCGGAACGACCCGAAGGTGGAGGATCGCGAGAGAACCTCGAGGCCTTGCCATTTTGTTGGACTTCCTGTAACGATCGCAATGCCGGTCGGACCCGTGGCAATTACGCGAGGCATTTTCGTACTCGGGCTCTCCTATTAGTCGGATATCCACGGCAAGGCATCGCTGATTATTCCTCCGCCCGGCATAGGTGTGGAGCTTGCACCGGCCGCGTTGGGTGCGTATTACGTCGGGCTAGTGGCAATGGCGGCCAAGACGGAGGTGAGGGAGTGGACGGTAATTTTAGAGGGGCGACTATACCACGCTAAATTGACAGGATCCTCTGTTCCGAAGTAACGTATGCACGGGTCCGTCGGAACAATAACGATTTACGACAATGGGACGGAAAAGAGAGGACGCTCCTCTGCCGATAGCGTTCTTTGCCTCACTGTCTTACTACCTCATTATCGACGATATTCCCCGCCTATATATTCTCCGAGCTCGGTCACGTTCTGCCTACGTTAATATGAAACGATACCGCAGTGCCGCCGTTAAGCGATTCCATTTAGTCGGGTTTAATTTCAATTTGGCCATTTTCTTTTACCTTGATCGGCGATCGCAGGCCCGGCCACGTTCAGGACAGTGGTGCCGATGTGGGAGTCCTCGGAGATCCTTGCTACAGGACTCGGTAGAAGGAGTCTGGGCGGACCTGGGGCTTGTCCCGTTGCCGGGGTCACGGTGAGCTTCAGGATCGCCTTTCTAGGTGGGGATCCGTGGTCGTTGGCGGTGATCTCCAGCTCGGTTGGTCTCACCATCGGTCTCACGAGGCTGACGATTCCGGAGTCGTATCCAACCGAGAAGCGACCTTCCTCGTTTCCCGATGAGATCACGTAAGAGACGCGGCCGTTGCTGCCGATGTCGCTGTCGACCGCGACGACCCTCACCAGAGAGGTTCCTGGAATGAAATTGAAAAATAATTTTCCTAGCTCGATGACACCCTAGAATATTTAATATGAGTGTCCTGGACCCTCGCTCACCTGGAAGGACGTCAGTGGTGACGGCCAACTTCGTCGTTTCCGGCGCAACGAAGACGGGGTCGTTGTCGTTCTGGTCCAGGACGACGATTCTGGCGGTGACGGTGGCTGCGAGATTTTCTCCAGGTGGTGCCCTATCGCTGGCTCGCAGGACCAGCGTATATTCCGCCCTGTCCTCTCTATCCAGGGGTCTTGCTAGAGTTAGAGCACCGGTCAAGGAGTCCACGGCGAAGCTACCACTCGGTGGAATCTCGGCTACCAGTCCGTACCGCAGATCGCCATTAGGACCACTGTCGAGATCGGTAGCGGTGAGATTGTAGATGGTGGACCCGATGGTCGCTCTCTCCGAGACCTTCACCGTGATCGGGTCCAGCGGCCATCTCGGTGGGTTGTCGTTCGCGTCCTCGATCAGGATTTTCACGGACACGGCGATGCTCTGAGGATTGCCGATGGAGGTGGTGTCGAGGGCGCGAATTTCTAGATGGTACTCGCTGACGTTTTCGCGGTCCAAGGAGTGGGCAACTACCAGCTGACCGGATCCCCGGTCGACGTCGAAAGCTGGGAACTCGCTTTCCGGGGTGAGGGAATCCAGAGTAAAGGCGACTCGTCCTGCGGGACCTGCACCGGACACGGAACCCACGGCGTGGCCGATGCTCGCGTCTTCTCTCACCTGAAACCACCATAAAAGAAATGGTTAAGGCACGTCTTCTGTATCTTCTATCTGTATGGAGCAACGACTAGAAGAGGGCGTTTCAAAATCGCTTCTCGTGAAATTTTTACCGTGAACGTCAAACTGCTGCTCGTGAACGTTGGCCTATTGTCCGCCAAGGCTAGGACCTCGACACGCAGAGCTCGGATGCTGTGACGAGGTGGACGTCCAGCATCGCTGGCCTTGACGGACACCCGGTAGACGTTTCGCTCTTCATGGTCCAGCACTGCCTTCGTCCTGATCATGCCCGTTATCGGGTCGATCGTGAAGACGTTGTAGCCATCCGAGTCGCGATCTGGAAAAGGAGACCCCATGAGAGAAGGACACAGGCAGTTTAGACTAGGAAGTTCCTGTTCTTCGAGCCGATCGTAGATACGCAACGTCGGTTACTTACCTTTGAGAATACTGTACGTCACCGAGGCGTTCTCGCCAAGGTCTGCATCCAGGGCTCGTATCCTGGCGACCTCGGTGCCCGGAGGCTGCTCCTCTCTGACGCTGACCACGTCTCCTTGGGGGTCGACTATCTCCGGGGAATTGTCGTTGACGTCCATAATCGTGACTTTGAGGGGAACCCTGGCAGCTCGTGGAGGCGTCCCCTGGTCCCTGGCTTCCAGCACCAGCTCGTGAACCCCTCGAGACTCGCGGTCCAGGGGCTCCCTCGTCGTGATCTCCCCTGGAATGGACGAAACGAGGGTATTTAATAAAATTCCTCGGTTACAGTTAGATCGGCGATTATTGAGCCACTGGCAAAACCAACATCCCGCGGGTCCCGCGGCACGATCGAGCACTGACCGTTAAAGGACATCGGCAAAGTCCCCGTGATAATCGTAAAGCTTCCCTGGAACGGCAAATTGGATAATCGTCGGCCATTTTGCGGGTAAGAAGTCTTCTCTCGAGGGCCCTGCCTATTTCGTTTTTCGCATTATAATAATTGCGCGAGCGCGAGAACCCGCCAGAGGAAGAGAGAGGGAGAGAGAGAGAGTGCAGTGTCCATCCAGTCCTTCGCAAACCCGAACCATCCGACCAGCCGACCAACCAGGAGCCGGTGCATTATAATAATGTCGGCGCGTATAATCGCGTGCGCGAGCTTCAACGCATCTCGGTAACGAGTTTCTTGTAATTGCGATCGCGGAGGAGTCAGCCCTAAAGAAGATCGAAAAAGGTTTTCGCAGGCCAGCGTTGTCCTCCGCCGGCAACATTAGCGACTAATTAAACCAGGACCCTCCTCCTCGTCTTCCTTGCAATTTTTCCTACTTTTATAGTCGCGATCGAATTTCCCTTCTCGAGTAGAACTTTTCAACGGGGTACCAAAATGACGGCCGGTCTGCCAACGGTACGCGGACTCACCGGTGACCCACCGACGCGGCGTCGCGACGTTCCACGACTCGAGAGTGGAGAATGCAAGGAAGAAGACCCGAGGAAGGTTTAACGCGGGTGTTGGCGTAGAAACGATTGAAATGTATGAGACGCCGAGAGATTCCTCGCACGCCTCGCCTTAGGCGCCTGGCCGCATCCCGAAAGAGGGCCGTCGGTTAATCGGAATGCCTCTTAAAATTCTCGCGCTCGTTCCTCAATAATATCGCGCGTCCGCGACGCGGAATGCGAACGACAGGGCGCGGAGCCCCGAAGAGGAGGCGGTAAAAAGATTCCGAAGACCTGGGCGAGGCCAGAAGGAAAGTGGAGGTCAGTTGGCGGCGAAGTTTGAGCCGAGGAGTTTCCCTTGGTCCTCTTGGTCTTCTTCGTCTTCTTCGTCTTCCTCTTCATCTTTCTTCCGTCTGGCAGAGGAGCAGGCAGGGGGCAGGCGAGACTCCTCGTTCTCCGTCTCAGGAACCAACTGCGCTCAAACCGGCGAATCTCTCGTGTACACAAATACTCTCGCGTCGCATGCCAATCAGACGATGCGGCGCGTTAAGGGATGCGTCGAGGATGCGTGTGCGATCCTTCCAGGAGACGTAGGTGTGCGTCCACGAGCCTCTGCCCGTGGGCGGGACCGTTCCTCGAGGTCTCCCTCTTCGGATAATTATGCGCATCGGAGAAAGTGGACGCGGGGCTCGAGAGGCTTTCGAGCGTTCCTGGTTTCGATTGCGCTCGCAATCGTCGTATCGATATTTCTGGAGGAGGTTACCACCTCCGCGTCTCCCGGTACCCGGGACCAGTTCGCATCTCCTGGTCTCCGTTCGGCATGAACGGATAACGAGGTCGGATGGAATGCGCCGGGTGCACCTTCGGGGAAACGGCACGAAGGGTACTCGAGTAATGGCGTCGAGGACGATTCGAACGTCGAGGTCGATGACGAGTACCCGATACGACTGGTCCTACCACTGGTGCGCGTTCCAAGGGTGCGGGGATAAGAGCAAGGTTCCTAGGATATCGTTCCATAGATAATGGGATGGAGTATCTGACTCACCTGTGTCTGAGTCGATCGCAAAGCTGCTGTTCTGCTGGACGATGGCGTATCTCAGCAAAGCGTTCTTCCCGAGGTCGGGGTCGGTGGCGGCGGCGGTGCCCACCAGGGTTCCGGATGGCAGGTTCTCCAGGAGATCAAAGACGTAGGAGCCTCTCTCGAACCGAGGCTCGTTGTCGTTGTCGTCGAGGACGGTGACGAGGACGGAGGCGCTGGCAGTCGCGGCCGGGGAACCATTGTCGGTCGCCAGAACGGTCAGGGCGTATCGATCGATCGCCTCGCGATCGAGGCTTTGAGCGAGGAAGATCCATCCGGTGTTCGGGCTGATGCGAAAGGACGGCGAACCCTGAAGACGATAGCTCAGCCGGGCGTTGTTGCCCGTGTCCAGGTCGACGGCCGTCACTTGGAGGATCTAAGGAAGAAAGAAAGAGGGATCTTACGGAGCTCGAGAGGGCCGGAGTCGCCCTGGAGGTGGAGGCGACGATGATCGACGCCGACGCGATCGGGAGAACCGACGACCTCGAGACCTTGGGCAGATTACGATTCCTCGAGATCGAGGAACGGATTCCCGGCCGATCGTTCTCCTCTTCCTCCCCTCTGAGTCGAGCCGTTCTCCAAAGCGAGAGAGACGTCGAGATCGAGGATCAGGAGGCGAAACAAAGGCGAAAGATCAAGAGGATTCGGTCGGTCCAACATTGGGCCCCGCGAGATCGGGGGATTCATCCCCGGGACCAGTCGCGGATCCAGGGAAATCGAAGACGCCGAAGGGGCCAACGGGAAGCGGTGCGTCATCCGGCAGAAGAGGAGCTCTCGTGGAAGTCGGCCGTAATGTGTCTAACTGTACGTTATTAGTTCGCGGTGGGTGAAGGGTTACGTTTACGGCAGCCATATTATAGCGCGAGGCTGCCCGGCTCTCCTCTAGCGACCGAGATATCGTCCGGATACCACCGACAGCTCGCAGATCTGTTTTACCGATAGCCCCACCGATACGGGCCGGTACTAACGCGTATACCGCGGGTCTATTAAAAAATCTGTAAGTTATTTAACGGCTTATCTACCGGAGGGGATCTCGGCCCATTCGTCATCGAGGTCCAGTTCGGGACGAGTACGAGTTCGCTACCGGGTCTGCAAGCCTGGCGCCAAAAGTTCCATATCGGATCCTCCGGTGATAATCTTCCATCGCTCTCCGCGTTGCGGAGTTACACCCCTTTGGTTATCCTTCCACGTCCGGCCGGGAGAAAAATGGAAAACTCGAATAAACTATCGCGATAAGTAGCGCCGACGTTGATAGCACGCCTTGGGCTCGTTTTTTCTCGGTATACCCCCCTGGCCCTCCTAGAAAAATCTTCGATCGCCCCTTTCCTGTCCTCCCGTTGCACCGACTAATCGATATCTCCGTGATAAACCCACTCCAGCTCGCACCCGATAAATTTAATACGCTATCAACCGCGGACGGGCCATTTCGCGGTCGTGCGGCGAGCCCTCCTATCAAAGGCGGTCCTGAGAGCTAATTAATCCGTGTAATCCAAATATCACTCGGGCACCCCGAATGTCATTTTTGCGCCGACTGACGGTCCGAGTACCGACTCGTTCCCAAATTTCGATCCTCCGGCTCGGTCCCACGTCTCGTCCCTCCTCTCTGTCGGCCGCGCCTAAGTTGGACCCTCGACAAACAAATGCGCTCCTTGACGGGCGTGTAATGAACATTTTTCTCACCTGCGAATCGAGCCTGGCGCCTTCGGAAACCTCCACGTGATATTCGTTCCTCTCGAACACTGGGGGGTTGTCATTCACGTCTTGCACCTCGACGCCGAGGCTGAGATTCGCGGAGAGCCCGGCCCCGTCGAGGGCGCTGATCAAGAGCCCGTGCCTCTGCTGGGTCTCGTAATCCAATCTGCGCGCCAGGTAGACCTCCCCCAGCCTCGAGTCGATGCCGAAGAGGTCGTTGCTGTTCTGGGCGAGGTGGTAGCGAATCGGGGACCCCGGCACGCCATCCGGGTCCTCGGCATGAGCCACGTAGAGGGGCAAGTGCAGGGGGTGCGACTCGGGGACGGAAATTCGCACGCTGCTGCTGCTGAAGGACGGGGGGTTGTCGTTCACGTCCTCCACGGTCAGTTCCACCTGGACGGAAAGGAATTAAACACATCGAAATGGAGTCACGTACGTGCCATCGGTTATTCGAGCCCGTAACGACTCCGACTCCGAGAAAATCGGAGATGGAGGGAGAGCGAGACCGCTGATATAATTATTACGGGCTTGTACCAGACGTCGCGGGGCAATATGGCCGCTCGGTACAAGCGCGGCCGTTGATAACAATTAATAACTCGCGGTGATAAAAATACCCACCTGGCAGTAGCCAATCAGATTGCCGCTCCTGACAGCCACGCTCAGAAGGTACTTTTCTCGGGTTTCTCGGTCCAGAGGAAGCCGGGTGCGGAGAATTCCCGTCGTGGGGTCCAGAGAGAGGTCCAGCTCCTCGGAGACGAGGAAGAACCTGGTGGGATGGTCACCTGGAACGAGATAAAATTCGGGGGTCGTGAACCGGGCGATTTCTAATTCATGTTTCATGAGGGGAAAGGAAGGAAAGCGAGAACGGCGAGGTCAGAATTTTTTATGCTCCTCGTTTAACGAGGGGAATTCTTGAACCTCTTTATACGAGGCGTGCGGGTATCTCACGGTCTCGCGGGAGCGTTTCACGCGAAGTAGAAAAATAATGACCGCAATTAGGGTGGCTCAAAAGATCGAAGGCAGCGAGGACACGCGGCCGCGGGAGATAGTCGCGCATCGGGGCTCCTTAATTAAAATAAATTCTTTTGTGCAATGTTAATTGCGTACAAGTGCTGATCAAAGCGCGGATCCGTTCGCCGGGCCGCTTTATATCCCCTTAGCGTCAACTTCTGCTCCCCGTGATTATTAATAATTTTTCCGCGCGGCGGCCTCGTAACCCTCGGAATATCGAGCATTAATCTACCTTGGGCACGACACGTTGCCACCTCTTCGAGGCGAGGCCGGACTCCGAGAGGAGATCCGAGTAATTAGGCGTTCCGCCGCGAAACGCCGGACCATGGCGCGAGGCATCTCCCTTCGTTAATTATAACGAATTCGCGAGGGTAAATCCTCTTTACGAGCTTTTTACAGGCTCGCTTTGTCCATAGGATCGATCGGATTCGACGACAAATCGAGTAAATAAAGGACCCTTCCGCTCCCCCGGCTCTTCGGGGCTCCAATTCCCTCGGTCGAGATCGTCGCCCCGAGGAGCGAACCCTCGAGACCCACCGAATCGATTTATATTTAGCCGGATCTCTCCCTGGTGGACTAATGGCTCGATTTCGCCGACACGCACCTCTGCCCGGCTTAGGTAAATCCCCTCTCAAAGATGCGACACCGACAAAGACTGCACCGACCAGAAATTACCGGCGACTCGATTTCGGTGCGCTCTTCAGGGTGCTCGGTAAACGCTTCCTCGGTCCCTTGTACCGCGTTAATTCGGCTAATTAGATCCACGGATGATCATTTGTAGCGAGGGCTTCGGCGCGCTTCTTTGCGTTCCCTATCCCGAAATTCGAGTGGTGGGCTCTTCGAGGTGGGTCCAAATTTTTGGGAAATTGCGATTTTGGGGGAATTATTCTCGTGGGTGATCACCCTCGACTTCTGCCGAGTGGCAGCATTCGGGTCCTTTGTATCGGGACCGCGCAATATCGAGGAATAAAAAGTCCTCGTTGAAAACGACGGCGAGGACTCCGCCGGTCCTTCACCCTCGTAGGCTCGGGTCATCCGCATCTCGCCGATGATGGATGCTCGATTCCCGACCTCCCGACCTCCTCTTACCGACGGCCGACCTTCGCGCATCCCTTCGCAGTAGGCGCCGACTCACCGGCTTCTACTTGAAATCAATTAATAGGCAAACGGCCCGATAGCCGCGGCACTCTCTCCTCGACGTGGACGCAGCCTCCCGGACGGTCCATTGGCGAATTAACTGAAAACGCCGCTAATTTTAATGGCGATATAATTCAAAATTCAATCACGCCGGCTAATGTCCAGGACCATAGGGCCATTAATCACGAGAACGTCCTAGGCCCTTCGAACGAACACGGGTGCATCGAGTACAGGTAACCTCGCGGGTTGTCCCTCTCGAGGAAAGTGTCATAATCGATGACCGATCGAATCGGAATTATCTCGGAATACGTCTCCGTAGGCAACGTCGGCGGGAGGACGCCGACACCGCTTGACGTTCCCCGTTCGGGAAAAGTCACGAAGAAGGCACTCGGTCGCGGACGTGGACGACATAATTTATTGGAGGGCTATTTATATATCCGTGCCATCCCTTTAAAAGATACATACCGGTATACGCGAGCACGCTCGCGTGAGCATCGTCACCTTAAAGTCGAGTTCGCGTCGACAGGAGGCGAGAAGGCTGAGGAGGAATCCCCCTGGGGTACCCGAAACGTCCCTAACTGGATTTCTGGAATATGGACGCCAAGGAGGAAATTCGAAAACGCCGATCGACCGGGCGATCCGCGAAATCCAAGATGGCGCGCCTCCACCTGCGGCGCTCTTCCCAATGGAAATCCGATCGGACCCAATTAGCGGTGGAAGGGCGACGATTATATCGGTCCCCTTCGGCCAGCCCCGCGGTTGGACACGGTCGTGTTCGATTTTTCTGTCATTACAAGGTCATCGAGGGGAGAAAGAGAGAAATCGCCGAGGAGTACAGCGCGTCCTAACACAGCCCGGCGAGTATTTATCGAGCTTATAAATTACAATCGCAGCGCCGGCGACCCGGCGCGTTTCCCCCGCTCGATTCCCACCGGTCGGCGCAGGCTGCGTCGCCCGGGGGTGCTGGGACCGTGGGTGTAACGAAGACAAATAGCTTGCAAATTGTATTAATTCGAGAAATCGTGCCGCGATCGTGCGTCGACCGGTCGTCGTCCGGTTATCCGGTGGCTGGTCGCGCGGTGACCACGTCGAATCGGGAGCAAGTTTTTACGAGCCGACCGGAGTCGAGAGGAGACGGCAATGGCGGAGGAGGAGACCTCTCTCTCGTAAGGTGGTCATTACGGATTTCCACCCTTCGAGGACGAATCCTCCTCGTCCTTCCACAACTCCCTCGGCCGACCGGCGATCGAGCCGCTTTCCGCGGAGAACGCTCATCTTGGTCCCACCTGGTCCCAGTGGTACCAAATGATACCACGTGGTAATAAGTGGTACCGGCTCACTTAGAGTCCCGACTCGATTATATCGAACCACTGAAATTTCTGTACATTTTCTGAAGAAACTCAAAACGGTATGAAACTCGTTACAACGATCGTGGGTGGAGGAACTCTAGTCGGAGCGGGGTTCGTTTTTTGCATCTGCGCCCAGTAAACCCGCATTTGCAATAAATATCTCCCCAAGGATTTCGAAAAAGGTAACTCAGTCAGCATCTCAAATAATCCCTCCTGTCCCTGGCTCTATTCCCCTCTTATTTACGACGCGTCCTCCTCAGCGCTCCGTCCCTGTCGCGCTCCCTCATTCCTCTAGGTGGACGTCTCTCGTGCTTCCCCTTTTTATTCTACCCTCCTCCCGTCTTCCCGGACCCCCCGTCCCTCTCTCTCCCTCTCTATCTCTCAAATGGAATTCATTTCTAGTTCCTTGACTCCCGCTCGCCGGAGAGATTCCTCACTCTCTCGCGCCTTCTTGCCTCTCTTGGGCAAGGCGCACTCGCGCCGACGTCCATGTTACATGTGTTGCCATCTTCGCTTTTTCCCTTTTTCCACCGGGCCGGTCGCATATGAGCCGCCACGCGATGTTGCTTTTCTTGCGGGATATTTAGATCGGGGATTTAGGATCGAGGGTCCCGAAGAACCCGGGGCGGTTCCGCAGGACTTCCGCGAGGACTTCGTCACCTCTCGGAGGGATCTTTTTCCCCGTCGAGGGACTTCCCTCGTGGCCTGGAAATTTAAATTCGAGGACCTCGGAGGGCGATTAATCCGCCCTGTAATCGGCGATCGGTGTCGTTAGCGGGATTCCTCGCAGAGGCAGAAACGGGATGCCGGGGTCCAGATCCGCCGCCTTCGGGCTCCCGAGGATACATTGTCGCGTAAAGACAGTTCTCACGACAAAGTCGGATGGGTTCCCCGGAGCTCCCGAGAGGGGCCCAGGGGGGCCCATCCCGGGCTATAACCTACCGAATTACGTGCTCACGGGGCGCTAAACGTCCGGATTAACGTCGTCGTGGTGCCGCGCGAGTCGAATATCTCAGAGCCGGTCCCCGCTGGCGAGGACGCGCGACGAACGCGAGGAATTTTTCTGCGGCACGAATAAAGATCCCCCCGTTCCACAGTCTCGTACGTGTGCGAGAGGGTAGGAGGATTTGCATAAACTCGGACTTTTAATTGGCCGCCGCCTCGCGAGGGACCACCACCCCAAGGATGCCCCACCCGTGAAATTCGACATTACGCGCGAAACAATTAATATCAGGCCCTGCTAAAATTATCTCAGACGTCCCCGTGACTCTTAACAAAATTTGGAGGGCAGATAGAAATTCGGTGGATTTTTTTAAATTCACTGGAATTCCCGGAATGCCGATCGATGGCTGATAGGTACTTGGCAGTGATCCTAGGAACTGGACCAGTCCAGTCGATAAACCAGTAAATGGGACCGAGCCTGACGGAGGGGCCTCGAAATTGGGCAAGTAGATCTCAGAGAACACGCGTCGAGTTCGAGCCGAGCCGCGAGAAACGACCTGGTAATTAAATAATGACGATTAGTTGCAGCCCGAGGGGAGCGTCGAGGGACGCGACGAATGCGATGAAGAAGCGATACCGTGGTTAAGGCACGCTGTCGCTGATGGGGGTCTTGCTCGTCCCCGTTCGGCTTCCCTTTCGCTCCCCCTCGAACGCGGTTCGATCTCTCTCGCTTTACGTGGGACGGGCAGCGATGAAAGAAGCCAGGACGTAAGGACCGCAGAGACAAAACTCGCGGGTCTCTTCCTTTACGGCTATATTGACGTGTGGTGGCATACCGTCTCCCTTCGAGTGCCACTGCGGCACGTTGATCTCCTGGATGGAGAACGACACCCGGTGGAACGTGTTCTTGGCGAGGAGGTTAGGGTCCTCGAAGGATCTTAACCGCCCTGCAAAAGGACCAGGGATGGATATAGATGAATTATTAATTTCTTGAGATTTTTTGGGGTTATTTAAGGTTTTTCAAAATTCGTCTCGGGGAGAATCGAGGGTTCCTTTCTTAAAAGGACGAACGGGGCTCCGAAAGGATTCGTCCGATCGGAATCGGCGGATCGGAGCGATGCAAGGACGAGGTGGCCCTTCCCGTTCGGCCGCGAGGGGTTCGCCTCTTCTTCCTCCTCTCCTGCTTTCCGATTCTCCCTGCTCACCGGTCCGCTGCTGGCAGAAGAGCTAACGGAAGGAGAAAAGCGCGACTAGGGGAGAGAACGACAAGACAATGGACGGCGACAATAAGGCCTCGGCTTCCAGCGACGTGAAAATAAATTAAAATGATCCCTGCTACACGCGGCGAGGAGGATGTAAGGAGGACAAGATGCGGTGGATGCTATATGTCGAGATAATAGCGTGTAGCTATGTCTTTAACGAGATATATGTATACCCTCCCTGGGAGCAACTCCGTTTCCATTTGCGTTTTCTGCCGGGAATTCTGATATTCTCTGGGGAGAGGGGTTTTCCCCTAGACTTTCTTCCTAAATACCCATTTCACCCGCCGAGACCACGAGACAGGAGATGAGTCAGCCAGCATCCCTGATTTTCCATCTTCCTCGAGGAAGGAAACTCGCAACTCGTGTTACGTCGCATCGTCCAGAAAAACGAGGAACACGATGGCCGAATGCGTTCCCCCGTCCCACAACAAATCCTCAGCGACAGCTAATTGGAACTACTTGACGTCCGACAACGGGAGGTTCGAGTAAAACTATTACCAGATACAAACGCTAACAAGGACTGCCAATCCACATGCCGGAACACCTAGTCCTAAAGACACTTAACATCTGCAATGCGTGTACTAACCTTCACCCTTCCAGCGGACTGTCAGAGTGGGATGTGCAACAACATCAACCAGAGATGATGTCTCTACCTCGTCCTGACCTTTCCGCGGGATTTTCCCCGCTGGTACCACCCTAACACACCTTTTTGGGAGTGCTGATCGACCTTTCCGGGAAGCTGGCGTTCCTTTTCCTCGGCGGCGTAAAAGTCACCAGGACCCGGAGGAATCCTTTGTCCTCGGATCGCCGATCGAGGAGTTCCTCGCAGATCCTGCCGAGAGGCGTGCAGCCATTTTCCGCTGACCTTTGCAGAAGGAGCCGAGGCCGGCGAGCGGATTTCTTTCCCCGATCGGCTCGATTGCGTTTAAACTCGAAACTCTGGACGTGCGCACCGCGGGATATAGAGGCCGAAGAGGATGCCGAGGAGGTGGGAGTGCTAGAGAGATCGAAGCTAAGCAGAGATCGTAAACGGCGATAACGACGTGCGGAGATAAGAGGCATCACGAGGCCGGCAATGAGATGGAGGACGAGGGGGAGGCTGAGATGGACCACGAGCCGCGGGATGAGATGTTGCCCATCGGTACTTTCGCGGCCGCACATGCTCGACCGGTGCCGGCAACCCTAGCGGAAATCTAGAGGCCGGCAGCTTCCATTTTTGACGAGCCGTCATTTTTTTTCGGATCGGAAACGATACCGGGACTCCACTCTGCGAAGGTAAGGGTGAGGTCGGCGCTACGGACGACTTCGGGATGCCGGGACGGAGATAAATCGACTTTTCCCACAAAAGGGAGGAGCCGCGATTCTCGTAGGTGTCCAGCTACGACGGAAGGGAGTCGAGGGTGTTTGGAAAAATTCGGGGGAACGTTTAAAGGGACCTCGACGAGCGAGAAGAAGATCGCGAGTCTCTCGAGGGATTAGCTCGGCGCTACTCACAATGTAACGCAAAGCGAAGGACGAGTCGGCGCGGTTTCTTTTCGCTGTCGTAATAGTTTTGCGGATAAGGGGAAGCGGGATCATAATCACCGCTGATTCGTTGTGACAGATGGAAGTTGGTGGAAGCGGACGGGACCCGCGAAGTTGCATGGAGAGCCAGTGAACCGGGCTTAATGCCGATCTTATTTGGAGGGCGCGATGGCACGCGACGATTTGCATTCGACAATAAACATCCGTCTAAAACTGACGCGGACGTATGCAGAAGGTCTTGCAAAGGCCAGTCAGGATTAACATAATACCCGGCAGTCGCGTCATACAGGCGGCCGCGTCCAGGACTACAATGTGCGTTATTACGAGAGAGCCTCGTCCTCTCTCGATCTGATTTCGCGAGGACCCCCCGGCCCCCCTAATCCCCCTAATATACGTAAACGTTCGATCAAAGCGTGCGAACCGAGTTCGGCTCGTCGGAGCTGGACCGATCGTGGAAGAGGGAGCCGAAGAAGAGGCCGAGGAGGCCGAAGGCCCCTGAAATCCCGATGGAAGGGACCGCAGGAGAAGCAGAGGGGGCCAGAGGGGGCCGAAGGTGGAGGCTGGAGAACGAAATTCTGGGAACGGAGTTACGCAAATCAGACTGCGCGCATTCGTCCTGGACCGCGGCGCTCCTCAGCGGGAACGGCAGCGGCACGCTATCTCTCGTGGATCTTCCCGAGGAGTTAGGTTGGGTCCCGTCCGGGGACGAGCGTGGCGAGCGGCTGTCGGTGGAGCCGATGCACCGTATACCAAAGAAATTTGCAAGTCCGGTGAAAGCACGACCGAGGGGGAGCCAGGCTCCTCGCTCGGAGGAGAGAAGAAAGAAGAAGCGAACGCCTTGGAGGAGTAAGGACTCGCCGATGATCGGCGGGTGCATTCTTCGCCTCCCCCGTTTCCGCGGTGTTTGCGATCCTTCCACTCCGTAAACCGAAATCGGTTCCGCTGATGGGGGGAGAAAAAAAAAAAATAAGTAGCAAAAAGATCAGTCGAGACCTCGGAAAGGAAACGGCAGGACCGAATCGAGGAGGTGGCGAAGGAGTAGATTCGAAAAGTTGCCGGGAAGGTCTCGAAGAGACGAAAAGAAAAAGTCGCGGACGTCTCTTTCGGGCGACTCGGGCCGAGGTATCGGTAGAACTTGGAATTTAAGAGGGCAAATAAAAGGGGATGCGTGTATCGCTCAGGGATAACACGAGGCGCGAGATAACCGGGGGTCCGGCTCGATCGATTTTCCGAATCGAGAAGGGAACTACTTGGTATTCCCGGTACGGTGACAGGGGGACTTCTCTCGGCCGATTCGCACCTCCGGTCTTGCGTATGACGGAAGACCCTCTGCCGAGTCGGCGGGCGGCTTTCCCTTTAGGGCCGAGATAAATAAATTAAACGAGCTTGTCTCGGAATTAATATTATCTTAGAATATAAAGTGGGGCTAATACGGATCGGCTAAATAATTACCCAGGACCTCTCCGGCCCAATTAGAGGCCGCTTTTAGAGGCCGCTTTTAGAGGCCGGCGGAGGACGGCTCGAATCGGGAGAAAGAGTCCGCCCTTCCGCGATTAATGCAAAGCGAATAACTGGAAACTGGCCGCGTTTAAATCGGATCGGAAGGAACGGGTTTCGAGATGGAAAATTTCCGGCGTCTTTCCCGAGCGCCGCCGACCGGTCCCTCTCTCTCTCTCCTCTCGTTTCGGGCCCTTCCTCTTCTCCGTCTGGCTCGGTCGGTCCTTCGGGATGCGCGGGGGTGCGGAGCTCAAAGCGAGCCCGAACGGCGATATTTAAAGCGTATGCAAAGAGTGCAGCATTTGCAGGGGTGAGGAGCGGAGAAAAAAGTCCCGGACAATGGCGGGCTTGCGTTCGGCTGCCCGGAATCCGACTCGCGACGATTTATGCGACCTCGACGACGGTCTCCCCTCTTTCTCTGCCTCTCGTCCTCCCGGCTACCACGCGGCGAGACGCGGAGAGACCAAATAGAAGGAAGCCCCGAAGTCCGTACCTCTTCGGGCCCTCTCTCGGCGGACGTCCGAAGTCGGGACGCGTTTCGGTGCCCCTTTACGTCAGCGGGCCCTCTCGAGATTTAGGGGACCGTTTTAATTACCACCCCCCGGGCCCCGAGTTTCCATGGGGCGATCAAACGGGGCTTATTTGCTCCGAAATTCACGGCGGTCCCTAAAAATCCAAACCCCCTTCGATTTAGAGCTCCGTCGGCGATCCCAGAAAAGAGCCGCCGGAGGAACCGAAAAAATCGTTTCCCCGAAGAAAAAGGGAGGAGTGGCTCGCCCGAATGCGTTTATATAAAGCTCGTTCCCGGATAAGATAAAAGCGTCTCTAGGTTTCGCGAGGTACAAACTGCCATAAACCGAGCCATAAAACCGTCCCTCACTTTGTCATGGGATTTTATGCAAAGCGTCGCAAGGAGCGAGCCACCTCCGCCCTCCTTTTCGGCGTTTTTTCCCTCCTCCTCTAACCTCTCTAACTCCCCGGAGAGTCGACGTTGCGATGATACAAAAGTAACCGGGGCCCGATTCCGGGCACCAGACGCTTAACCGAGTGCATACATCGGGACGGTGCACGTAGGTGCAAGTGCATCGCGCCGGTGTACGTGGGGAACCGGTAAAGCGCGATGTTCCTCCTTATCGAAACAGGTGTCATAAAATGGTAGCGGCAGAGAGAGAGAGAGAGAAGGACCTTGGGCGTTCCTCGGGTATGCGCGAAACCACGAAAGCGGTTCGACGGTCTTCGAGGTCCTCGGCCTCCCTCTCTCTCTCTCTCTCTCTCTCTCTCTCCACTCTGTCGTGATCGACGGGGGAACCGGGTCTCTCTCTCTGCCTCCCTCTCTCTCTCTCTCTCTCTCTCTCTCTCCACTCTACGAGACTTTAATCTGATAATCTGATTGGCTGCCGTGTGTCAAATATTGCGAACGCGGGTGCCAGGCCGTGTCCCTCTTCGGGAACAGGTTCTTCCACGGGGACCGCGACGTCGGCGGAGAAGAAGAGCTCCATTCGGTATCCCCGACTCGGGAGGACCTCTATCTCGAATGGATCTTCGAGGCTCGTTTCCAAGGATCGCGAGCCGCCCGCGTCATCTCGAATACTTTACGAAGACCTTTTACATTTACGATTACATCGACCACTCGAGAGATCGCGTCGATTCTGGCCGGGTCGCGAGTCTCGAGCCGCCCCTGACGAAATCGGGCTCGTCGTCCGGGGATAACGCGGGGATAACTCTTCGGCGTCTTCTTCAAGGTACGACTCGAAGAGAGCTCGACGAGAAGATCCTTAGAGAAAGCTTCGAGTTTTGCCGTCCGGACCCCGTGGAAAATTCAAGACGAAGGGCGCCCACACGGGGGAAGAAGAGAGACGTATCCCCGCGAAGTGAAACGGAACACACGTTCCTCGCATTGATATGCAACAGGCTCACGTATGCGGTCCAACCCGGCGAACAATACGACCCACCTGTAAGGCACCACCGTGTAAACTACCGTTCGACGTGAACCCTATAGCGCGCCCCTCTATGCGCAATCGTAAGTTCGAGTGCACTTTACACGGTGCATCGGTTATGTGGCGCGGTGAGCGCAGGTCGTGACGCACCGTATCTTGCATCGGATGTACCTCCAGTGTGGAAACACGGATACGTACCTACCTTCTTCCCTCTTCCACCTGCCCTGCTGAATACTTCTGCCTTCGGAATCGATCCCCACCCCCGACTCGCGAGATTTTAATCTGGCCGGTCCTTCGCGGGACTTTCGCCCGTTTCCCCGAGGAGAAGGTGGTCCCTTCCCTGGGGTTCCGTCCTGGCAGGTCCACCCTCTTCGAGATCGTCTTCGAGACCCTCCTCAAGGTCGACCGGGAATCCTACCTCGAAGGGGACTTTTCTCGGAGCTTTCCGAGGACTCGGGATTTACGATGACGACTACCGCCTCACGGATAGATCCGCCGACATGATTTGCATGGCTTTATCGGGCTGCTTCGCCCAAAGGGCCCGTGCGTGTCGGTACGTACGCTCGTTCAATACGCGAGCGTTAACCCGACCGTGAACGTGGTCCCTCGTGACACGACTATGCTAACGCGCTGGCGCGGCGCGTGGAATACGTTTTCGCCTGGAACGCTTGCATTTCCACTTCTACCTCCGTCCTGGCGAGTCATACACCCTGATTCGAGGTGCACAAAGAGATGACTTAACCGCATATCGGGGACCGGTATATCTGCGCCGGGGAGCGATCGATACCGACTCCACGGTGCACCCAACAGGTGGTACCCAGAAGAGGTGTTAGGAAGGTACCGGGATATCGATAGCGAGCCGAGGAGCAGGGACGAGCAAAATCCGGACTCCGGGTCCAGGTCCAGCATGTAGTCCCAATTTTGCTCATCACTGCTGGAATCAGAAAATTGGTCCCGCAAGTGGGACCAATTTCGCCGATCGCCGTAGGAACCAGAAAATGCAGAGACGTGGACTCACCTGGACCGGTGGCCTCCTTGACGACGCCCACGACCGAGTTCTGCGGGACGCTCTCCTTGATCTGGAAGGTGTAGCGATGCCTCTCGCAGACGGGGATCCCGTTGGACTGGGTGGAGACGGTGATCCTGACGTCGGCGTCGCCGATGCTCTTCAGCCCCGCGGCGTCGGTGGCGGTGACGTTGAGCCGATGGGTCTGGGACCTGGAGAGCAGACCGGGTCTGGCGACGTGGATCTCGCCGGAGGCGCGGTCTATCCTGAAGACGCCGGCCTCGTTTCCGCTGGATATCCTGTAAGCGACCTGGCCGAAGAGGCCGGCGTCGAGGTCGTTGGCGGAGACCCTGAGGACGGGGCCGCTGGCGGGCCCGTCGACGCGCAGGGTGACGTTGTACCGGTCGGGGTCAAAGACGGGTCGGTTATCGTTGATGTCCGTGACCTGCACCCTGACGATGGCCGTGGTGCTGAGTCCACCTGCGCAGAAGAAGGGGCGCCTTGAGGACCGGGTCAGCGGGGTCGGGGACATCTTGGGGTTCTTATTTCCGCCGGCTCGGCCGAGGAAATCCTCTTATCCGGCCGAATAACGGCGGGGAATTAGCCGGGTATAGAGGGCGAATCTACGAGTCGGCCGCGAGCCGCGCGACATAAATCACCGGGGCTCCTTCGGCTCCTCCACCTTTTTTTCGGAGCCAATCAGCCCGCTCGCCCTCTCTCTCTCCCCCGGCGGTCGCGCCCTCCCGCGCTCCCTCTCTCTCTCTTCCTCGGCACACGGAGGTTGGTACCCTCCGCGCGGAGTTAATGCGCTCGGTGTAATATTTCACGGGAAAAATTGTGGCCGATACATCGCGGCGGAACGTCGAAGCGAAATGGCCGAGCGTTCCATCGCCGGGCGAGAGCGAGCGCGAGAAAACCGACCGGACCGAAAAACGCGGCGGATCGTAAACGTCGATGCTATGGAAGAATCGACATACGTTCCCGATCTATCTTCGATCTATCGAACCTTGTACCGACGCGCACCGCGTTCCTCGCTGAATTATCTCCCTCGCCCACGCGCTCCCCCGCCCGAAGAAACGAATATGCCGAAGAGGAGGAAGAGCACTCGTCAAAAATCGAGGAGCTAGGCGAAGCGTCGAGCGACCGAGTAAAAACCTTCCGGGACGAAAGGACTATTCGCAAAAAAATAATAGAGGACCTGTGCCTTGTACTCGGAGGGTCATATTAATTTCAACTGTATTTTAAACGTCTATTGGCCGACCTGGATCCACGAGGAGGACGAAGGATCACGGGGGAGAAATATTCCAGTCTCCAGAGAAGACGATGAGCGGGAGACGAAAAGGATGAAGAGGAAGCCGAAGGATGGAGGGAACGTGGGTTTTAGGTCCTAGGAGAAAAGTCTTCGCGTGTCGAGGGTCAACGAGCACGCGTTTCCATGGCGCGGCGGTTTAGGAGGACTTAACGCAAGTGTTAATATTAAAGACAGTATGTAAAACGGGTAATCCGATGTTTAAACGGTTTACACTCGTAACTCATAGTAATGTATGGACTCGGCTCCGCGCGCGGCTCGGAGAGCGAGGAGATTTATAGGTACGAGTGTCATTGGAGTCATGCGTCAAGGGCCAGCTTCGTTCTCCTCACCACACCTCCCTTCGTTCTTTCTTCTTCCTCTCCCTCTCCCGATCCTCCCTGCTTTTCCCCCGCGCCTGCCTCCCTTGTCACCCCTGTCCACCGACTCGGCGCCGACTTTGGCTCTTCGCTTCTTGCCGGTGCTCCTCTTGGTACCGGGGCATCGACGACGTCGGAGAGGTCCTCGGAGGGCTGGTCCCTGCTGGTCCCTGCTGGTCCCGGCTGGTCCCGGCTGGTCCCGGTTGGTTCCAGCTGGGAACCGTCACTCCGTGCCCATTTTTCTCACCACTTCTGGACTCCTCCTCCGGATTCCGCCGTTCGTTCACGGTCCGTGTCTCCCCGAGTTCGGGATAAACGCACCCGTAAACAGCATCCAGGTATTCCTTTCATCCCGGCGAAGATGCATCGCGGCGAGGTGTTCGCGCAATTTCCTTGCAGATTCAGCAATCACGGAACTTTTCTAAATTCCGATGGGTTCCGACGACCATCGCCAAGGGGAAGAGGGAACGCGCGAGAGACTCGATCGCGCGAACCATCGGAGAGATTTTCGAGGTCCGCCATGGCGTAGGACGCCAGGGGAACCTCGGAGATTTATGGGGCTGGTATTGGCCGCAGGTTCTCAACCCGGTCGCCCCGGAGAGGACATCTAAGCCGGCCGAGTAAATGGCAGAAACCGCGTCGGGAGACCCTATCTGTGGGAGTTAGCTTCGAAGATTTATGGTGCCGGTGTCAATAAAGTCACCTTCGCCATCCTCGGGAATGGTCCCAAGAGGAAGACCCTCGTGGCCGCGCCTCTCTCGAAAGAAGCCAGGACGAGGTTGGCCTCTTCGTCCTGGACCTCCACCTCGCGAATTGACTTTTAAGGCGCCTTCGAGTTCGCGTGTTCCGTTCTCCAGATACCAGGACTTCCTTCTTCAGCGAGTTTCAAAGTTTCCGAGCTGGGTCGCTTCTTTGGACCGAAACAGCCTTTTTTGGCGAACTCGGTTAATGGACACTTTGGAACGTATCTAGTGTCTTGCGCCATGGTCCCGGAGCATATTCCCGTCTTAAGTGCCAAACTTTCGATAGAAAGAGGCAAACGTTAATGGCGGCGACTGCGAAATTAGAGACCGCGTTTCGGCAAAGAAGCTGGCGGGTATCTTAATCGAATCTGAGGCATTAGAGTCGTCTAATCAAGGTCAGTCCTAGCAATGCGTTAAATCGTCGAAAGTGCCTCTCGGAATTTTCTCGTCGACATCCAAATGAGCCGTTAAGATAGCGCGACGTGCCACACAAAGATATCCATCGACTTTAAGTGCGTGAATAATAATCAGAGATCTCGCGTTCGCTTATAAGGATCCCAGGCTTTATCTCGGCGGAATCCATTAGTAGAGAAAGCCGGATCCCATCCTGGAATCTATTCGAATCTACTCGAATCTACTGTAACCCACGGCGACCGTCGGGATAATGGCCGTTCTCCATTTGCCCGACACAAATGCCTATTTCTGATGGAAACCTAATGGACACATGGTCGCGACCAGACCGCGAGACAAATGAAAGCATTTATTATCCGTTACGTCACTGTAAATCATCGGGCAATTATATTATCACGCTCGTTATAGCTTCCCTATTCATTCGCCATCTGCTTTGCATTAATTATGCCGGCCATTTACCACTCCACTTTGCTACTCGCCCAGCAGCGGCTTCATTGTGCGTTCGCGATAATGCAAGGTAGCCGTCGTAGCCAACGCGAGTCTATTATCAGTCGTTCTTGCTCGAAAGAAAAAAAATCCATCCCGAATCTGCGCGGAGCTAAAAATGGCGGCCAAATTGCCTCGTGAGAACTCCACTCTCCTCGGAAACCATGGAACTCGCATACTCCATCGACCTTGTGATCCGTCGACCATGTCACCATAAAATTTCTCGACGGATGAGGCGCCATTCCGGGCCGGTACTAATCGTCACGCGATTTTACCCGAAGATAATAATTAGTCAGGAATTGACAACGCTATGGCACTCCTCTCTGTGTTTATCACGATTCTAGACAGGCCTCCGAGGAATAAATCCCGTATCGGCGCAACTCATCGGACTCCCTCGTCGTTCTGCATTTCTCCCCCCTGAGCGAGTCGTCCATATAAATCACCGGATTATTTTTCCACGCACCGAACCCCGCGTCATATCCGGTGGCGGCCATTGTGAGAGAGGACACACCTCGTCCTGGAGGCGCCTCCAGATTCGACGTACGGTCCTGCTGATAACGAGCAACAATTACCGCGCGCTCGCAAAGTTGCCCGACGAGGAAGGAGAAACCGGGAAACGGGCGACAATGGCGAACCTACATCCGCGATAGATAAAAGGGGAGACCATGAATCCATCGATGAAGGTGTCGGCTGTTGCCGGGAATCGGAACAAATTGAATCGTTGTGAGAGGGCATCGGTTTAATTAGCGTTCGGAAGGAGCCCGAAGGAAATCAGAAGAGAGGTCGATATCTCGTCCTGAGAATAGGTCGACCCAATAATTGGTGTTCCGGGGCAGGGTTCGAGACGAAGAGCGACCATGCATCCCATCTGGGCTCCTATTCTCGAATTCATACGGATTTCTTCGCATACGAGTAGATTCGTACGAAAAGTTTCGCACTGTTGCAAAGACGCGTCATTGGTCAATATTTGATAGTCGTATAGGAAACTGTCAATTTCGCATCGGTATGGATTTGAGAATAGGGCAGTTTCCGGTGGGGTCCATCGAGGTTCTGTCCCAACGCCGGCAAAACGCGGCGATCCGCACTCGGAATGGATCAATGGACTTCAGTCATTGTCCTTCCCATAAGGGCAGAACGCGCCCGTTGAAAATGGGCACGGAATACTGGCAGCATAAATCATACAGCCTATTACAGAGCTACTAGATCTTGGCAGGGCGATAGCCACCTCCGCGCTCCCCTCCGTGCTGGTACTCCCTTTATCGAGCCGTCTCTTTCGCTCTTTCTATTCGTGCCCATCTCCGTCCTTCTTCCTCGCTCACGCACCAGACCCATCTCGTCCTCTCGCGGCTCCTCCTCTCTCCTTTCCGTTCCCTTCTGCGGTGCCGACTGCCCCCCTCCGCCTTCGTCGTGCTCTTCGTTATCTCTGCGTATGGGAGTCCCTAACGCGAGCCGAGCATTGTTCACACGATGCGGATTCCGCCGCGGCTTTTTCCCCGCGCCGCCCCCGGCCGAGGGGACCGATTACGCCGGCTCGCCCCATAAACGGAGGGCACGCTCTTCGGCATCGGATCGCCGATAACCCCCCGCAATTGGCCGCAGATAAGACCGCGATACCCACCTCTGTCCGTCGCGATAACTGGCAGCTCCAGATAGGGGGCCACCTCGCGGTCCAGGGCGGACCGCACGCAGACGTCCCCGGAGTCGCTGCGCACCAGGAGTTGCTCCGACGCGATTTTCCCTGCTGCCAGGGTGTAGTTCACCATAGCGTTCACCCCGCAGTCAGGGTCCGTCGCTCGCACCTGCAAGGATAAAAGGATAATATCGTTAATTTTGCGCCGACACGTTTGGAGTTCGACTCCCCTCCTCGGGCTGCTGGCTCGAGGATGAATATTCAGATATTTAATTTACCGTGTACGCGGGTGCTCGTGTAAATAATGTATCTTATGTTGGCCCGGTAACGAGCCGGGATAATATCTAATCCACGGATAAGGGGAGGTCCTCTCGCGTTATCACCGCGCCCGGTGATAACTCGGGGGTCGTCATCCTGGGCGCACTCGCGGCCGGGGGCTTTTTGTTTAATTTTGCATAATGTTCCTGAAACGGGACACCGTCGTGCGGCGGGCCGAGTCGCCATTCATAATATGTGCAGTGACTAATTTGCGAGGAGCAACGGTCCTTCTTTCGCTTCGGAGGTGGACCAGGACGGACGTACGCAAGAACGGACGTACGTGGGGGCGGTGATGGACGCCTCCAGCTCCCAGCGGTGGTTATTTATGTGAAGGAGCATCGCCACCTCGTTTCTCGTGGATGCCGTGCGATTTGTTGACTGGCTAGGTGGCAAGTGTTTCCATTACCTGGGATCGATTCCCCGAGGTAGGGTTCCACAGGGGGTGATCCGAAACCTTCCTCAAGATCCGCATCGTCGGGAGGACTTATCAAAATTGGGACCAGGGAAGAATCTATGCCGAATCCATCGGGACCGTAATTTTTGTAGGTATGCCCGATACGTCTCGGATCGAGTCCTCCATTTGGAATTCCTCGTACATACCCCGAGATCTGCCTAGAAACAATGGAGGCGCAATGGTGCCTCTCCACCGCGACAGGCCGTGAATAACAATTAACCCCTGATCCAACGGCTTAATGGCGCCCGTTAATTAGCATTCCGACGAAAGTTCACTTACTCATCGTCTTTGTTTCATTCACTTTGCGACTTGGGACCGAGGTGGAGGCGGTGGCCGAAGTCGAGAATGTACTGCCGGATGACGACGTTAACTTCAGGAACGTCCGGCGAACGCAATCATCCGTCGCGCAGGAACGTGGCAGGTTAACTAAGAAATGGTCCAACTAGCCCTACACGGAGATGTCGGTCGAGGGTGGGGTCGGAAGAGAGACGAATCTTGCCCAGCAGTGGGAAAGGAGACGGATGATGGAGCGGCGAGGCGGAGCTAGAAGAGGAGGGAAGGAGACGCGGGGTAATAAAGCCAGAGTCCGCGAGGAATGATTTACTGGCCCTCGGTTCGAATAACTTTCCCGGCAACGTTGTTGCCACCTCGAAGAAGGACCTGCTCCTTCGACCTCGCCGAGCTACGGGGAGCGTCTTTGTTTACGAGAAAGGGGGCTAGGATAATTGCAACTAAGTGAGACGATCCTTGGGTGGGGTGCGGATGGAGACGTATCTTTTCCGTCCAGATTTCCAGATGGGAAATGCAGAAGAAGGAAGTGGCAGGGGCTCTTTGTTCGACCCTGCGAAGCCTTCTTCGGGGTGCACCGGGCCAGGAGGGATGCAAGGACGAGCAGGTCCTGGGACTCCTCGAAGCGGGGAAGGAAGCGGTCGTGACTCGTGGGAACGCAGGGCTCGGTCTCTGCACGATCCGTGTTTCTAGATCGCGACCAAAGGCAGGACGGAGAAAGTATAGAAAGAAGGTGGGTGGCTGGTGGTACCGGCAGAAGGGAGCAACCTCGGCTGGTCAGACTTGCGCCAGGGATCGCATTGGATTGTATTCCGTGTACTCCGATTGAAATCGATATTCCGCCCAAGGTCGGGGCAAAACAAAACCAGAGGAACAATGCGTCTCATGCTATCCGTGGTGTAAAGGAATAACACACGGGCAGTCCCGCCTCGCGATATAATATACCTCTCCCCCCGACTCCCCCGATTTTCCTTTTTCGCCTTTTTTCTCGCCGCTTGCTTTGTGCCCCCTTTCCTTTCCTGCGTCTTCGGCATCGGCCGCGCGAGAACCTCCGAAACGCAGCGTCGAGGAAGGGGAGCCCCCACTGATTAGAAACAACGCTGTGCCCAATGAAGTTAACAAAAATATAATTAACAGGGCGGTTATACGAGCGGCTCGATGGGAGGGAAGCGAACGAGAAGAACCGAAACCGACGACTCGAAAAGGCAGGATCAAAAAGAGTCCTGCCGGGGCCGCCCGAGGAGCACCCCGGGCCCCTCCTAATGCCACGGGATCGTTTACGTCTCGAGGCGACCGGGCACCCGGGGGTCGTGTTCGGGGATCGCTCTTATCTCCTGGAGATAGTCTCTCGAGGCGCGACCGATGTCCCGGAAATTCCTGGGACGGAAACCTGGGGACAATTCCGGAAGCCGGGACCGGGATGAAATATTCGGTAAAGGGAGAAATTACCGGGAGCGGGAGCACCGAGAGGAGCTCCGAAAAAAGGAACGAGAAGCGGCCGGCTAACGAAGGTACGAATTGCGCGAGAAATGGTTGAGGAGGAGTCGAACGCTCGTGAAGAAGAGGCCCTGAAGCGGGATCGAATTAGCCGGCCAGATCAGCACCGATACCGTGCGGCAGTAATTCATTAGCATGATTGTTTTCGGTGGAGGCGTCCACCTTTTTCCTCTCCTCTCTCTCTCTCTCTCTCCTTCGCCTCTCGACTCGCTCCCTCGCCCGGCGACTTCTTCTTCTTGTGAATGAAGCATTCAACTCGGGATATATATCGAAGGGGAGCCGCCACCCTTCGAGAGATCGCACAAAAGGTTTTGACTCCGGACCCTCTTCCGAGGATCGTCGACGCACTCCTCGACCTTATCGCTCTCCCGGAAGACTCTTAACCCGCTGTTCTCTATTTTATGGAAATCACTTTTTCGCGCCGGTTCTAGGACCACCTCGAAGGCGAATTTCAGGTTAGCTTCCCCGGTTGGCACCAAAAAGCCACCAACGTCGCAGCTCTTCGAGGATCCTGCGCTCCAAAGTTGGAACCCTCCGTATAGTAACGAGTCTTGTCTTAACATTCCCTTACGACACTCCACATTCCCCTCGTGATGCCCGACATTCTTTTCCCAAATAAGGCCGAACCCCGCTATCTCGCGTTATGGCTCAAATTCCACAGAGTTAGATATTCACACCAGACGGTTTTTCCAGTTCGGGTGTCAACGATAGTCATGAAATACGAGAGATTCGAGCTAGGTTCTCAACGCGCACGGTCGCTTTTAAGGACGAGGTCCGTCTTCTACCCTTCTCCTTCGTCCTCTCTCGGTCGGCTAGCCTGCCGGTACTAGTGAATGCATCGGTGCACCCATGCACCGCCGTTGCAACAGGTACAAATTGTCCGGCCGCAAAAGTTATCGCAGTAAATCGCGGATGACTTGGCGCGGCGCATCTGGTATGTCGACTTTTATATACCGGTTGGGATTCGTCGCCGAAGGAGTGATATTTGTCTTGGGACGGGGTAGGAAAAAGATCCTTAAATTTACCGTCTTTTATGGGAAATATAGCGTCGCCACTAAGGGCCGGTTCCTGGCTACTCCACCTGGCAGGATCATCGTTACGACCGTCGCAAATTTCTGTACTTCGTAGATTACCATAAACACGAGGAACTCCTGCATCGTGGATGTCCTTGGGCGAGTATGTAATGATTTTAATAATTCGGTAAAAATTTCGGGAGAAGGATTTGCGCGGGGACCCAGAGGCTTGTTCGAAGGGTCAAAAGAACTTGGAGAACGCTGGATAACGGCTTCGTTATTAGGCTGCGATGAAATTGTGGAATCCACGTGCCAGATAACGGGGAACCGCGGTTATGCAGCTGCACCTGCGGTGGCCTGACCTTTGGTCACGGTGGCTCATATCGGACCGATCCGGCGTGGCCATTTTCATTACAGTAGTCATCAGGGTTAATCGTCCGACTAACTCGGCGTGGAATTCCGCAATCTAAACTTTATTCCTCGAGCTCGAGCTTAATACCACAGGTAGGATAAAACGGTCTTCAGGTATCCCCGTCAAGAGTATCAACGATAGCTCGGCGACAAAGTTCTGTCAGCGATGGCCATTTTTCCATTATGGCGTCGGGCTCGAATTAGATTTGGTCCACTTGGTCACGGTGCTCAGACAGTGAAACGCCGCTGATGGTCAATTATCGTTCAATGCCTTCGAGATACGATCGATTTGGCTCGTGACAGGTTTCGAGCTACTATCGGGGACCAAGGTAGTCACTTGGATTTTCTTTGGGAACGAGCGTGGTAAGGCCCCGTCGATTTTCCCTCGTCCGGTCCTCGGATCCCATGAACTCGAACTTTCCCTTCTTCCGTCCATTCGTCCATGGTACGTGCGACTACGCAGTCCGTCGGTTTTTGTTCCGCCAGCAGGACAGATAGAGCTGTTCCCAAGTAAGCCAAGAAGCCATCCTCGGCATTCTCGGCTCGCCGGTTCTCTGATGGACTGACAGTCGTCCACGGTCTGCCACGAGTTCTGTCCTCCTCTCTGTCCCTCTCGCGGGGTCGCCCTATTCTCCGTCTCCTTCCCGCGCTCCACGCGGGGAATTCAGTGTCTTTGAGCTACGACTCGCCGTCTCTTCCGTATCGGATCAACGATCTCTACGGATCTCTTTCGATCGGTCTTCGTAGGCCATCGTCTCTCCTCTCTTCCCATTCATCCTCTCGTTGTACCTCTTGCCCCAAATTCCGCATTTACTTTGCCCTTTCGATCGAGAGAAGGGTGCCACTCGTAGAAAAATCCTATTCTCTTAAAGGTACCCCTCGTCCTTCGAGAACCACCTGGTCTCGAGGTCCCAGGATCCCGATTCCCCATGACAACCATATTTGCATGGTGTATGAAATCTTCGGGTGGACTCGACTTGTCAGGATCTGCGATGAAAGGACAAATCAGCGGTGGGCGAGCAGAGTCGATCGACCAGACTGTGCCAAGAGAGCGACCTTTTTGCACCTTGCTCGCTGTCTAGAGTCCATTAACCAGCCCGTTCTTTGTCCCGTACTTATTCCCCGTCGTAACCTTGTAAATTTGCTTTTTCCTTCGGAGCAGGAGCGTAACTGGACTCGTCCTTCGTTATTAATGGGATTCGTCGCGCTAGCATCGGACGATTATTCCATGGGTCTCCATGAGTGGGGATTCGATGTCTCGGTACGGCACTGGACGTCCAGCAAAGAGGCAAGACATGCCCCCCGTCTGGACTAGTTTTTCTCCCTCCGCGAGAACGTTATACGCGAATTACTTCGATCCCTCCCCACTGGGGACTAGACGAGTGCTCTGCCACAACAGGATTACACAGTTGTTCTTCTAAGCGACAATTACCCTACTTTTCCCCGCCGCGGATCCTTTGGTCCTCTCGCATCTGGCTGATTTCGTAGCGACGACTGGACCACTGGATGTGACCTCGGTAACGTCGGTTTTCGGCGCTTCTTCGGGTACCCAGGTATCTTTAAAGTCTCCTGGAAAACATCTTTGCAAAGCTCTGATATTGCCTTGTACGGGGTAAATCGGTGATAGTCGCTCTTCAAGATGGCGACCAGCGGAAGTCGCGTGGGCGGGTGCTCAG